CCCCCCCCCCCCCTCCCTCCCACTACTGCCAAATACTAATGAGCGGGGTTGGATACAGATCATTCTCATTACTGTAGATAATAATGGTTTTCATTTTCTTATGTTTTCTTGATTTACAAATAGGCCTACTGAAAATTTTAGTTTAGACATGCGCTTCAAAAGAAAAGAGTTTGGATTTAGACAACAGACTAGTTGTTAATTTAAACTAAATGTTTCATTGGGAATGCGGGGATATCTCAAGTATGTTTCTTCTCATTGATAAATGTGCTTGGTATTTATGAATATGAGAAAGGTACCATTTAGCAGTAAATGTTTAACATGTCCAAGGCATATAAACAATAATATTTGTGATGTTAAATAAATTGAAATTAGATATTTGTATTGATCAATTTGAAGTTGATCATCTGAAAAGGCAAGTGTGACAAAGTAGGCCAAATGTCTATAAGGAGATAACACATGGGTGGCAACCATGTTAATTTCTAAATCTGAACAGTGTCAAAAAACTGTATTTTATAAGTTTTTCTTTTTAGCCATAAGTTCTATAGTTCTTCTGTGGGGTAAGTGTCAAAATAAAATGGAAAAGATGACTAACTTACATATTGATCCATTTTATTCATCAAAAGAGCCACACATGCTATAGTGAAGTATTTTTTAGATGATTACAAAAATTACGGATCTCAAAAATTGTTAATTTTCCCCATTGAAAAGATCCAGTCCATTTTTCTCCATTTGAAAAGATTGAGTCATTACTGTAGGTATGCTTTTCACTTCTTTCAGTTAAATGCATGTAAAGGTATGAGTCTTCAATTATATAGTCATTATATTGTTATATTTCCTCGCAGTTAAATTATTTGCCATTGGCTAAAAGGCTAAATGTTTTTGAAGATGATTGGCATCAAAGTCAGTTTGCCTCTAGACATATTGTATGATGGCAAATGCTAGTGGCATGTTTAGTATATGACTGAAAAAGCAAGTGTCCAATTCACTCACAACTAAATAACTGAGACAGTGTACTCCAGCCTCACTTTATCATACTGAACATGTAGATAAAATTTTGGTCAGATAGCGAAGAAAATTAACTTAAGCTTCAAAATCTTCTAGTTGTCAGTTTGTAATTGGATATAACCCAGATAAGAATTCTTCAATTTATTTGGCTTTAACAAAAGTTCTCTCCAAGTACATCATTGGAATAATTGATAAGAACACGTGGCCTTATTGCATTATAATAGGCTCAGTTGTACCTAAATGCATCTCAAGCAACCGTGTCAATCTATTTTCAGTCCAGTTCATGGGTGTACATTAACAGTGTGCATGAAATTAGCTACTTATCACAGAAACCTGACCTTAAATCTCTATATTATAAGATTAATGGGCTGTTTTTATCTGAAAAGTAATCTCAATACTTTTGAAGGAAAAAAGGAGGTTAAATGAATCTAAAAAATGAACTGACATCATTGAAGGGGACACTGGTGATTATAATAGCAATAATAATGATAATAGGTTGAAAAAAAGTAAATGATGCCCCATATGTAATTCCACTTTTTATGAGCATGTCATAACAGAACTCTCAAGCTGCTAAGGATGATAAAAACCTTTCTTAGCGTAATTGCTGTTTATATATCTTAAAGGTGTGTTGAAATTAGTACCTGTTGATAAATATTAATTTTTACGAATCAAAAGATATAAAAACAGACGTTGCATTTGGTTCATCGAAGGAGATGCCACTTTTATGTGACCTCGAACTGATAATTAGCAGAACATTACAAAGCTAGCAGCTGGCATATTAAAAATTGTTTTTCTCACTCTTTGCCCTTTGCGTGAATGAGGTCACACTGATGACACAGATTTTTTTTCCACTGGCAGTCTGTTTGTTTATCACCGGGTTGAGGCATTTATTGGCATTTAAGCCTATTTTGTTTTATAAAGTAATACGATTTTCCCAACAGTAGGGCTTTTCTGACTTTTTTGTTTCTGACAATTTTGAGATTGATGCAGAGGGTCCCCTGGACCCTACACCCCATGCCATAATTTCAGACTTTTTCCACTTAAAGGCAGTCTCACCCCTGCATTTAGGCATATTTTGTGTAATATAGGACAGACACCCTTTGTTTGCATGTGTTATTCTAAATTTCTCAGAGGTTAGACAGTAGAACTACAGATTTTCGGTTCATTCATGATGATCACGCTGTAATATGACAAGAGTTTATGCTAATGAAAGAAAAAAGCCTTCCATATTTTCACTAGTGCTGTGAAAGATTAAAGTTGATGAGATAATATAAACTACGTCATGTGTGTTGAGGTTCTGGCGTCAAATATTTATTATGTTAACATACTGCAATATTTACATGATAAGATATGGCCTCACAGTTAACTCAGGCTGTGAAATCTTACTTCCACACAGTGGCTAACATCTTTAACTATATTCTGTAATAATAAAAACGAGGAAACCTGTTGACAACCAGCTGAATTAAATGTTTAATTAATATAACAACCAACCAAAGAGCTCCTTGTGCATTGTAGTCAGGAAATTCAAGAACAAAAGTGTTGTTGCTAAGCAAGCCCATTGTGATTGGTACATTGAATTTTAAACCTACCACTCTAATAGGGACATATTGAATAACATTTGAAAAAAGCATGAGCTTCAACACATGATAACCATCATGTTTAATGTACATATACTGGTGCTGAGTACCTGCATACATATGTGTGATGAATCTGAGAGATTATTGCCATTTGCTTATTACCAGCACAGAATTATTCTTCACTGAACATGGATAAGATATTTCCGACTATTGGCAGATTTCTTTCTTTTTGGGAGTCAAAGATACCATATTTGAGATCCTTGTAGATCTGTAGGAATGGGAGGGGGGAAGGGGGGTCGGACCTAAAGACACGTTTTCAGACTTTTTCACTGAATGACGGTGTTATCCCAGACTGGGAGACTAGATGACATAAGGCAAACATGGCGGTCGGTCTGTAAATAGAAAATAATTCTGTTTTACCAACCTTTTACGAACCACAAGTACTTAATTCATGGCAGTGAAAATGTGTACACAGTATTGGCTCTGAATCTACATGGACATGTATGTAGAAATGTGAATGAAAATAGGGAGTGAAGATCTCACAATGTGTATACTGTCCAGTCTTTACATTCCTTTCTGCCTGTCTAGCCATGCTGAACCTAGTTAAAGAGACTAACAATTTGATACCTGCCCCCCTGACAGGTGCTGAGTACAGATATATATCTTGCTCAAATTATATTTGGTACTTCTTTATCCATGAGGGGGGAGAGAACACATGCTATAGACAGGTGTGTTGGTGCAGTGTTGCATTAAGAAATAGACTGCAATTGAGGCGTAGCCTTTCCACGTTGGTGTAACCATAAACTTCAACTTGGGTTCGACTCTAGACAAATTTGTTTAAAGGTACATACGAACCGAGCGTGGATTCCCAGTAAAACATGTAAACCACTTCTACTAGTTTCTTATACAACTCAAATGAATTCGATTGGCCAAGGGATAAACTGAATTGATCACTCCATCAGCCATAAAAGAGCTTTAGACTACTCCTTTCTTTAAATTTTTGGTCAGAAATTTAACCTACTTTCGTGACCTACTTTTCTGTCCCATTGACATGCAGCATAGAATGCTAGCGGAAAAATCCATTCAAACATCATTTTCGGGTAAAATTAAACACTGCCTTTTGGTAATTCCCTTAGTTATACTACTTGAAACTATATGCTGGCATTTGGTCGGTTTTTTTGACAAAAAACTGACTTTGTATGCATCTTTAAGCTGAATTGCTAGCAAATTTAGAGGCTTAACTGAGACTGCTGAGTGCCTAAATGTGTTCTTATTTTTTAATTATCACATGTCACCCTTTATAAACACCATTTTTGATAGTGTAAAGATGAGCCAAAATAATCCAACTCTGCAGGTGTAATATTAAGAGCCCCCCCCCCCCCCAACCATTACCCCACCCCATCCCTTGGAGGTTAGCAGTCATAGGCAGTCAACATGAAATAAGTAGAGTAGAATGAGATTCACAGAAAGTGATTTTTGAATTAGATTGTTTTGATAAACAAGCCTTTTGAATAAATTAAGAGATACCCTCAACCAGCTGTTGATTGAAATCTGTCCTCATTTTCAATCCGTATTGAATTCTGTCTTCGTTTTCAATATTAATTACATGCTGCCTTGGTTTTCTATCCAAATTGTAATCCATCCTAATTTTCTATCCAAATTGTAATATGTTTCCATTTTAGATCCAGATTGTAATCTGGTCCTGGTTTTCTATCCAAATTGTAGTCTGTTCACATTTTCTATCCAGATTGTAATCTTCCCATTTTCTATCCAAGTTGTAATCTTCCCATTTTCTATCCAAGTTGTCATCTGTCCTCATTTTCAATCCAGATCATAATCTGTTCTGTGTTTTTAATCCAGATCAACACGAATGCCAAGAAGCTGTGGGAGCTGGACCATGATGACGGAAAGGGACAGCAGAAGCTGTACAGTCCCTGGGCCTCCAGAGATGACACCTGGGGGGCACCCTCCGCAGGTACTGAAAGAGAGAGAGAGAGAGAGAATTGTTGGGTGTGTGTTTGAGAGAGAAAGAGAAAGGGAATTGTTTGGTGTATGTGTGTGTGTGTGTGTGTGTGAGAGAGAGAGAGAGAGGATTGTTGGGTATGTGTGTGCCTATGTGTGTGTGTGTGTGTGTGTGTGTGTGAGAGAGAGAATTGTTGGATGTGTAGGTGCGTGGGGTGAAAAAGAGGGAGAGACAAAAAGATTTGATGGGGGCCTGTGAAGATGAGAGAGAGAGAGAGAACGGGTAGGTGCATGCGAGAGAAAAAAAATGTGCTGTTAATGACAGGTAATAGCTTCCAACAGGTGAATTCTAGACCTAAAGAAAACATTAACCATGTTGAGCAGGAAGTATGTGTGAAGTGCTACTGGAGTGCATTGAGAACCAAAGCTTCTATGATTATATCTGAAAAGCCAGAGGGTTCTGATGATGGCTTTTAGGAAGAGTATGAGAAGTTTTGATATCTTTGTAGCTAAATAAATTTCATCTTTAGGTAATTAATGTATGTTAGAATGTAGCAAAAGTTGATTTGATGTTTACTACTTGCTGAAACATGGAACTAAACAATATCCAGAGTTCTGTCTGGAGAATTCGATTAATCTGGTTATAAAGCCTTTGTATTTTGCTGTTTCATCAAATCGCATACGGTTTCTTAAGTTTTCTTTCTCAAATTTTCAACCAACTTTGCCAGTCTTCAATACATCTACTGATAAAAAAAAAAGGTAACTGTCTTTGATATGATGTAATAACAGAGAAACTCTTGTCCTGTATTTCAGAAGCCAATGCCCTGGGTGTGAACATGGTGGAGTATGTCTTGGGTGGGTCCCCCACTGGGAAGGACATGGACTCCAGGCTGAGGCATCTCAAGGGATATGTATGTATACAGAGCACAGACCAGATTGTGTGTTTATTTTATGTTACACTGTGTCATATTGATGTGAATTCATGTGTTGAAATAAGCATTAGATTAAAAAAATGGTAAAGAAATGAATAAGTTAAAGTTATGATCATCCCCCCACCCAAATAAATAAATAAGTAAATTAAGAATAATAATGTAATTAAAAAAAATAAGATGAATTGTTTCAGTTGCAAAAATAATAAATGTTGAGACCTCTCAAAGAGCAATGGTATAGACTCTATTGCCTGTATTGACCTTCCAGCCCCCGCACCAGCAGGACGTCCCCTCCCAGGTGAAGGAGAAGAAGAGTAAGACACCGTCCCCCTTTGAGGGCGAGAAACCCAACGAACTGAACTCCCAGGATGTCCAGGCTAACGGCATTCTGCAGAATGGGTTAGAAGACAGGTAGGTACATTAAGTCTACAGGGCACCGCTCACCAAATTGGGGCCTTAGTAAACTGGGCAAATTTAAACCATTTGGAGGAAAAAATGATGAAAAGCACCGATTTAGCTAAGCAAAAAATATTGGTGAGGCTACCACCATAAATGTTTAAGGAACTCAACACTTTGAGACAAAGAAAGTCAAGCCAAGTTTCAATGTACTTCTCCATTAAGTCTATTCTATGTAAAAGAGATTATATGCCAGAATTATCTGTCCACTCTACGTTAATATGGCTTGAGAGTTCAACCCCCTTGGTGAAGTGATAAACCAACCCAACACTTAGTCATCCTGGTGAGCTGGACTTGTTCTGGCTCTACTTGGCTCTGTCTGTGTGGCGTATGGGAGCTGAATACCCCCACAAGGGGTTTGAGGCATATTCCCTTTCCACAGTGTTGGAGATCAACCAAGTCCCCGGTCCTCTGTGACTGGTGTGGACTGAACCTTGCATATTCCATCAACTTTCTGTAGTCACTAGTTGACCTTGACAGAGGAGAAAGACCATGCAAGGTACATTTCTTGAATAAATGATAAAAAAATATTGATAAGAAATTCTGTTGGGTTCAAGCATATTGTGCTGTTAAGGTGGACTGCAACCCTTGAATATTTACTGAATATGTGACAGGTCTGAATGCATCAATAACATATTACTGTTTGACAGGTCACTAGGAATCTGTAAACTATGACTGAATATATGACAGGTCCCCAGGAAATGAATAGCTTACCAGATATATTTGACAGGACTTAATGCATCCATAATCAATTACTGTATACATAACAGGTCCCCAGGCAGCCGTCAAACGTCTCCCACAGAAGAAGCCGTCAAGCAGAACCTCCAGCAGCAGCAGCAACAGATGCATCAGTTACAGCCAGTGGCACCAGGTGGTGCTGGGGACTTCATCCACCAGCCTGTCTTGGCCCAGAACTCCATGCTGCAGCTGGATGCGCCCCCTTTTGAGCCTGGTGGGATTGAGCCGCTGCAGTTTGACTACTCCAACCAACTTCTTCCCTCCATGGATAGCCCCAACTTTAACATGGAGTATAATCAGCAGGTGGGTTTGTGGTAGATCAGTCATTTTAAAGGTTACTTAACAGAAATAGAAAGATGGATGAACGAATGAACAAATAAATAATGAATTCATAATATCAAAAGTTGTGGCATGCTTTTCAGAAGTTTCTGCTCCTTTTGATTAAAACTATAAATAATCAACTAATATATTAACAATAAACATATTTGAGGGCAATGATTTTTGCAGAAAAGGTTCCATAAACATTAATAATTTCATTTTATCTTTCACAAGTGTTTTTGTAAGCAGGGTGAAACAGTTCTTTATTACTAGTCTGCAGAGAATGTGAAAAAAAGACTTGAAATTTTACATGTTTTTGAATAAAAAAATTTCACTTTTTCTTCCAACAGCAAATGATGCGAGAGCAACAGCAGCAACAACAACAGCAGCAGCAGCAGCCAATCCTGCTGGCTGGTGGACAGCAATACGCTCTGGTAGGCACGCAGCAGCAGTTAGGTAAGACCTTCATACTCCTACAGACTCAATGACGTAACATGACTGCTACTGATTAATATACTTCTGATTACCCAAGTGGATCTTGTTTTATGGCACAGAACCTTGCAGTCACCCCCTTCCCAATCTGCTCAGTGCTTGACTTAAACACTGGGTTTAAGTCAAATAACAGTTAAGTTTTAAGAATCGGTTCTTTTATACGCAGGAACTCAAAGTGCCATTATGATAAACTTTTGTCAAAGACTCCTTGGGAATTTTTTGCAGAATGGCAATGATGAAAATAAGTCTTGAAAACGGTCCACACATTTCAGTTGGGGTTCCCTTCATGTAGTATCAGTTGTCCCTGTTCTAAAGGACAAACTCGTTTCAACCAAGTACCTAACTCCTTGTGGGCTGTGATATTTGTTGATGCTGATGGGTTCTCAGTCCAAGGATGGAGAGAAGAAGAGAATAGTGTGGGGTGTAGAATTCGTGCTTGACTCTGTACTGTTAAATGATCATATTGAAGACCTGTTTAAAACACAGAGATGTCCCTTTAGTTTTGTGCTGTGTTGTAACATCTCAACCACCAGTGAGGGCACCAAAGAAAATGGGGAAATGAGAGAAGAGCGACCCCCATTATGAGGGAGGGGGGGGGGTTAGGATATGGTCACTTTTCTATACTTGCCCTGTATTGCATGAATTGATCAATATATATTAGTTTTATATTGCATGATTTTTACTTTTTAGTGTATTGGAGTGGGAAATAAAAACAGATCTGTGAAGATTTGTGCTCAGTATTTATGATTCAGTGGATTTGGATTTTCAAAAGTGAAAAAAGGTTTACCTTTGGAAACTCAAATCACTTGAAAAGATGCATGGTAATTTTTGCAAAGATATTTTTACAATTTTTGGAACAATTTGTTGGAAGCTGCTGCGCATTTTGGGTCTTTGAATTGGTTGAATGTATCGTAATCAGAAATGGTTTTGGCTCGATCTGAGTGGGGGCGCGGGAAGGGGGAAGCTGCATTCACACCAGAAGTAACTTAGACCACATCAGCTAACATAAGTTCAACCATAGGACATTGGACGCCGATCACATGGCATCACTTGGCCACCATTTGATATCACCAAGCAACCATTTGACATCACTAGGCAACCATTTATCACCTGGCAACCACATGACATTATTACCTTGTAGACACCACCTGGAGACTTCAAAATAATACCAGTGTCATATGAATCAACCTTTTGATCTTGCAGTGTCATACATCCCGTGTCTAAAGTAGAAGGTCACATTCATAACTAAAGTTGATATGTGGACTAACAACTTTTAAATGGGCTGGCCTTATTTGATTTGCAGATCTATAAGTGGATGTCAGATCAAGTTGTTCTGAGTGCCCCAAAGTTGTGCTGTCATACAGCCCATATCATGATGTCTAAGTTAGTTCTGGTGTGACTGCAGCCTATCTAGGCCTGCATGGCTTTCTGTGGGCTGAGACTGGACTTGTGCATGCCTACCCGGGGGCCTCACCAGGCTGACAAGGATAACATGCAAACATATCAGAACCCAAATGATTTAAAGTATTTTGGGTGTCATAACTGGATAAGAGGATTTCATCACTTTTTTTACACCTTGAAACTTTTCAATTCCAACGCTGACTTTTTTTTACACCTTGAAACTTTTTAATTCCAACACTGACTTTTTTTTACACCTTGAAACTTTTCAATTCCAACGCTGACTTTTTTTTACACCTTGAAACTTTTCAATTCCAGCGCTGACTTGAGCTATACCTAAACAGGACTTTCGATCACTACTGTGACCATCCTCAGTCTGTGTGAGTTACTCTGAGACTGAGCAGTACTCACTATTTGTTAGGGTAAAGCTCAAGTAAGTGCAGTAGAAATTGAAATGTTTAAACATGTAAAATAATCAGAAGACTACACAGGTGAATTTCCTCAAAAGAATTTCATCCCATGTTCGTTGCCCAGAGTTTGCAGTGTCCTTGTTGGCCTGTTGTGTGGCCAGTGTGCAGTCGGCCAGAAGGCTCACTCAGTGTTGTAAACCCACTATGACCACAGTCACAACAGCAGACTAACTAGTCCACGAATCAAATATGGCTACCCACTTAAAATTTTGATGTGTAATCCCTTAATAGACACTGAATAGATTCCCTGCAGGGATTACGCAGTAAGAATTCAAGTGGGTCGGCCATATTTGATCTGTGGACCAGTTAGTCCGGTGTTGTGGATGCAGCCTGTCAGTGTTGCATAAATGCAAATTGACCAAGCATCAACAGAAAAAGACTTGAAAATATGTGAAAAGGATCTCAGTAGCCTGAGTGTGTGATTTATACACGTTCAACAAGAAAATCAACCAGAATTTCTGTCTTTAGATGAGTTTCTTTTCATATTGGGAAAGATTTCTTGATACACTCAGTGGGCCTTCCAATGAAAAACAAATTGAAAAAAAAAAAGAAAAAAGAAAAAAAAAATACATGCTGTGCTGCAGCTTTCTCTGGGCTGTTGTTGTATGTTATGTTGTCATTGTTACTGCTGCTACTGCTACTGTTGTTGATTTCTTCATCTTCAGGCTTACCCACTGCAGGCACTTTCACACCGACCCCCTATGTACTCAACGCCCAAGACCCCTACGCAGTTGGAATTCCCATTGCAACCGCAGGTCAGCAAAAAAAAAATAAAAAAATGAAAAGAAAACGTAGAGTAGTTTGGGACTCAGTAGTTTAGATATCTGTGGTTTGGAGGCTTTTCTCAAGGGGCACACCCAAATGCAAAATGTCTTAAGTTTTTGGTTTTGGTAACAGTGTGGTTTGTGTAGGTTTTGAGGTGGGGTGCATCAAGATACTAAAAAAAGTTTGGGTTCTTTTTTGGTTCTTGGGGTGGGGGTGGGAGGGGAGGTTGTCACCCATAAGCAAAATTTAGGTGGAAGATTTAGGGCTTTTTTGGGGCAGGGGGGGTGGAAGCACACCAATGTGAATCTTTTTTTTTTTTAATATTCTCTTAAGTATTGTCCCATGGACTTTTTGGAAGTGGGGGACAGGTACATGAACATCTGTAGGACTTTCGTGGGGCAGGGGTACACACCAATGTGTAAAAAGTAGTGAAATTTAAGGCTTTTTTACTTTTTTGGGGGGGAGGCAGCTTGTCAAATGAAGGGTGTAGATATGGGAGTTCTTTAAAAGGGATCTTTCACTGAGGCAGTTGGATGAACTGGAAACGCGTGTATGTTTATTTGCAGTAAACCAGGAAATGGAGGGACATTCATTCTTTTCCATGTAGTCCCCACATAGACAAATTGGTGAAACCGAAAAAAAGTATTTAAAAAGATGGGCAACTATTATGCATGTCAATGTTGTCCTGAGCAACACATTCTTTGTGGTATGTGGGGCAACCTGTATGTTTCAGAGCAACTTTCTTTGCACTTGATGGTTACGGGGTTGTGAAGCAATTACTATGAAGATACATAAACGTGAAAGTTGTGAATATATTCCTTGAAGCTGAACAGCTGAAACTTGCATTTGGTGTGTTCCAGCAGTGGGTTCGAAACTTGATTTAAAAGTATTTTTTGGTCTAGATGTGAGCAGTGACATTTTTGTCTGATATTTAAAAATGCATGATGCTTTTTGGACTGTGTCGCTTTGGGAGGGTTTTCTTAAACTACTGCTTTGATTTGAGCCTAACATAGTTAAGGATTTGTCCTGAATTGGGAGAGAGAGAGCGTATGAAAAATAATTATCAGTTTTAAAAGGTTTGGATATTTTTCAAAACAAAAAAAAAAGAAAAAAAATTTTTTTTTTCAAATTTATTTTTGTCTTTGTTGTAGTCCGTTACAGATGTAAAATGCTCCATGAAACAGACTTAGGTCATAGCTAACATACATTTAACCCTTCATTCCAGTTGCCAGCTTCCGTTCTTTTCATACAACATATTGAAATCTGTGTTCAAGATCCTTTTCTTCCTTAAAGTTTCTTTCTCCCTCTCACTATCTAAATTTCCCCGTTTTAATGGCAATTCTAATTCATGCATACAGGGAGGGAAATGGGAATTTTTCAGCACTGGTCCACATGGACCAGTTGACTCTGGAGGTAGTGGTCCTAGGCCTTGGGGCACTGGTCCAATTATGAAAGAATCGAAAAGGGGTGGACGGTTTAAACATACCGAGCAACTTCCTTTTTTTTATTATTATTAAAATGTGCCAGTAAAATAAAGCAAATGAAGTTTAATTTTCATGTTTGTATTTTGAACTTATTTAAAAGAATTGAAATCAACCAAATAACTCCCCAAAATTCATCAAAATTCATTTACATTTTAAAAACTAAACAGCTTTTTCTCCCCCCTTTTAAGGATAAAGGAAATGACACCACATTACACAATAGGAATCAAGTATTTTAACTATTAGGTTAAAAAAATATAAAGATGTTATTAATCTCTGGTAAACTGTGTTTACCCAAACAAGGTTTGGAATTAGAACAATGGGTTAAGACCCATTGTATTAACACAAAATAGGAAGTGACTTTAAAGTCCCAAAAGTTGAAATTAAAACGGAGCAAAAAATCCTTGCCTTTTTATTTTCCTCAAAAATCCTTAGCTGTTATAAAGGAAGGTACCCGCGCTTTTTTTTTTTTTTTTTTTTTTACATTTAGTGCTAGGTTGTTCGCTTTCGTCATTTGTCGGTGTTTTTCGTTTTAGAGGCTCTGGCGGCTTTGCTACACCAAGCAAAAACCTCCACATCGCTCTAAAATTGTAAGATAAGTTGAACTAATTCAATTCACACACTAAATATAGTTTTGATTTAATTTCCAACAAGAAAATATTTCGGCAGCATGCTAACAGCCCCAACGGGAAAAGTATTGTTTCTTGTAAAATCTTGAATGTAACTATAAACAATTGACATCGAAAAAGACCAGAAACCATTTAAAGAATTATATTTACCCTTCAAAACTACAAAACAGCACTCAAGTAAATTAGTATTTTTACCGAAAAGGTTTGTTGCGTACGTAGCTTTTCAATCCCCGAGGCTCTGCTACTTCATACGGCGCGAATGCTGTGGTAAAATCTGATTGGTCAAAATTGACAGTCTGATGCAAGCAAGAGGTCAGGTCGCATGCAAATAACGTCTGACGTGTTCGGAAGCGTCATTAAAATAGGTCAACACATCTGAAACTCGCGTAGTCTTCGATGCAGACAAAATTGGGAGCGGATTTTTTTAAAAAAGGAAAAATATCTTAAGACAAGTATAAATCTCGTATATTTCTCATGTTGCCGCTGCTTATAGAGCAGTCGCCCGTTTGGACCAGTTACTGAGTTTGGCACTCGCCAATTCGTTTTAGCGGTCGCATTTGGCGACCGCCCATTTCCCTCCCTGTGCATATGAGTAAGGTTAATGCCCAATTTATGCTTGGGTAAAGGTCTTCATAGCAAGCACTAAACACCAAGCTCCACAATTCGATAAAAATCTGTATTTCATGTGCTGGCTTTAACGCATATGCAGACATTTGCATACACACACCTAATAGAAAAAGATACATACATATATATGTGTATATATATATATATAAACAAATACACACAATGAAATCAATGTCACCATGTGTTCTCTCTCATACCTATCAAAATTACCTTCCAGGTGGACCAACGGTGATCCCCCAGTATTACGGTGTCCAGACCCCCTGGGGGGTGTACCCTGCCAGCGTCATCCAGCAGGGACAGCAGCAGCAGCAACAGCCAGGAGTGCCCCCACAGCAACAGCAACAACAGCAGCTACTGCAGGGTCAGGGTGACCGCCCAATGACACCCCAGCAGCAGCAGGCCCAGCAGGGGAGAGGGGAGGCCTTGGGGTCCCAGAACCCCACGGTGATACAGCCCCAGATTATACAGGCCCCAGGTAGGTAGATAGGTGTAATGGTCATATTGATAGTAATTGCAATGAAGGTAAAAGGTGATAATGATGATGATCTATATAACAATGAAGATGATTGCATAAACAAGAAATATGTTTGGAGTGGCAGTATTGGATGTTATGGTTAAAGTGATCTGATATAAGATGTAATAATGAACAATAAGGTGGTGAAAAATAAATAATATTTTTGTTGTGGACAATGAAAGTGATGGTGATGATGATGATGTGTTCAGTCACGATGCTGGATATTTCAAATTTAATCATTAGAAAAATTAATATTATTACTGCCAGAGTAATCATTCACTCTTCATGGCAACAAACATGACCCTCTAATCTCAGACCTTGTTGCAGGTGGTTACCAAATCCTGACTCCAGCCTACTATGACCAGAATGGGCAGCTGGTGATGGGGAACCCACCCCGGGGTATGCCTGGCACCCCTGTGAGACTGATCTCCCCAGCTCCAGTAATACTGAACTCTGGACAGCAGCAGGGTAAGAGAGAGAGAGAGAGAGTGGAAAGGGGGGGAGGGGGGGAGTGAGAGATAGAGAGGTTTTTGGTGTTTGAATCTATATTTGTGTTGATATGTTGGAGGGGGGGGGGTATAATTTTGAATTCAACACAGATTTTAAGTTGGTAATTCTGATGGAATTAACTGTGGAGTATTGAGTAACTTTTAACTTAAAGATTTCTACGAAGAGGCTTACTTTGGTGAAAACTTAATCTGATGTTACGATATCGTGTTTAGTGAGAACTGCTCAGTGCTATAACACCAATTGAGATTTAGAGAGAGATTATGTTTTACTACAAAGAACCCTAAGATTCAGAGTAAGCAATTGTGACCAATCTCCATCGTAGTGCTACCCATGATCGCCCTGAATTTTTAAGCGTCCGTTTTTGTTTTTCAGGGAACACCCTGCGTCTTCTGACCACACAGCAACAGCAACAGATGCAAACTCCCCCCATGAACAACTCCAACTCCCAGCAGCAGAACAACATGGGTAAGTTCACCCCCTCTCCTGGCTTAAGAGGTCAACATGTTGTCTTTCTGAATTAACCATTTAATAACCATGTTCATCTCCGAGTGGGTTGTGTACACTTCCTAGTTATATTGCATTAGATGTTCACTCTTCTAGGTTGGTGGGACACCTGACACAACTAACACACTCAACATGCTGATATTGTGTTCAGTAGACTCAAAATTGTAGTTTACAGCACATTGGTATTTTATAATTATCTTTTTGAAGTGATGTATGGTATGCAGGTGAATGTGGAAAAGATTTCATTGGATTTCTTTATGGAAGTAGAACCGAGTTTAATTTAAAGGCCAAAAAAATAAGATAAGGGTCCTTTTGGACTATTTGTGAAACCTGAATGAAGTTTCTGAAGATTTTGTAGAGACTGAAGACTGGTAAAAAATACAAGGTGAGATTCTTTAGATTCTGTTTAGATTTTTAAGCAAATAAAATTCAAAGCATTGTGAATACATATTTTTGGTCTCTGGTCATTTGTGAAGCAGGTCTCCCAAGTGACAGGAACTGAATTAGGGGCACCTGTTTACTGAAGTCCAATCCACATCCACCCAGCATACCTTATTATCTCACTAATAACATCACTTTGTGGCATCATTGCACAATGTACTGGTGGGTTACTATGGGTGGGAGGGCCTAGAAGGATATTTGGACCCCAAAATGGCTTGCAGAATACCCCTCTCCCGCACTGGCTGCATTCTGTGGAAGTTTGTTCCATCTAAAAAGTTTATTTTCCCCATTCCACCCCCTTTTCCCCTCTGCACTAATCTCAGTTCATGGTTTAGTTCTCTTGTAGGTGGTTATACTATTCCAGTAAGCAGCAAAGTTCTGAGTAAACAAACTTCAGTAACCTCGGCCTTAACACCCAACCCCCTTTCCCCACCGCAGCTTACCTCCACCCCATCCCCGTGTATCAGTCACAGTTCACACTCTAGTTCTCTTGTAGGTGGTTACACCACTCCAGTCAGCAGCAGTTTGTTCACTCCTATCACCAGTAATCTGGGGCTAACACCACAGCAGCAACAACAGCAGCAGAGTGGGGCCAGCTATCAGAGCAATATGGGCTCTATGGGCAACCTCGGGACAATGGGCAGTACAGCAGGTGTGATAGGGACTGGTAGGTTTAGTTGGCTGCATGTGGGGAGGGCGGGTCCCGCGTAGATTGGGGGAGATGTACGCTGGCTGGCTGCTCCGTGTTCTGCGTCACTGCTGCCTTGTCTGTTATATTGTGCTATTCTTGGGGGGTGATGATTTGGGTGTTACGGCATGTTTTTTTTTTTTGTTTGTTTTAAGGAAGGAAGAAAGAAATGAAAAGAAGAACTGAAGAAAAAGGGGAGGAAACTTGTAAAAAGTCTTTTTAATGGGGGGGGGGGGTCTGAATTTTCAGGTTTGTGAAATGCTATTGGTTTATGAAGAAGAAAAGAAAAAATTGATTTGTTTTGTGGTTTCTATTAGCTTCTGCCAAACTCTTAGCTTGTTTCACGTCCTCGACCAATGCAGGTTGGGATGAAACTTGAATAAGTAGATAGATAATTGCTGCCAATTTGTTTGCCACTGCCAAATGTGGTTGAATGTTGAAATGGCCCCATTTTTTCCCCACCCAAGACAAGACGGCAGCTGATCTAGGGGCAGTCCAGTACTAACCGGGCCTATGCTGTACAACCCACAGACACTCACTAGAGCATGGAGGGGGAGGAGTATCTGTACTCTCTTACCACTGTGATGTACTGATACAGATTTAAGCTAATGATTTTATCATCCAACAGGAAAACAGTTGTCTCATTCATGGGGTTGTCTTGCTACAGAAACGTCACCAAGAATCCAGAATAGTTTACAGCATGAAATTTTGTTAAACATTTTTTTGCTGAATCAGAAGTTTGATTCATTCCTCAGCAGTGCTTTAGAAATAATTCAGCAAATTTAATGCTGTTTTAACATTTGGCAAATCTTCATTTTTAATTCACTAGGAGGAAAATGCCCTTTTTTTACTCGGCTTACAATCAAATACCTTCTCACTTGTACTAAAAAAATTGATTAGATACACCACTTCTTATGTTACAAAGTATTTTCCCATATTGGTGGAAAGGGGGTTACTGGAACTGGATTTTGGGGTTAAAAAAAAAAAAATACTGTTAACCGTTCTCTAGTTCAGTGTCTGTGGCTTCTACAGCATCATGTTTTCCCTAACTCTCTTATTTATGAAGTTAGTGTAGATCATACAACACAGATTGTCAATGCCTCACCTCTCTGTTCTGCAAGTCTCACTGGGTTCCTGTGAAAGATTCTGATGCTGAAAACAAAACACCTGCATGATATGGCCCATATATTGGAGAAAATTTTTTTATATCGGAGAATGTATTGGATATTTGAAGGAAAAAAAAAGAATTATAAGGGATCCAGGTGAAATTATTGTTGCCAGAATTCATCAACAATTTACTTTTAATGACGGTATGCATTTCCCATGCTGTTGAAAGACAGCAAATACATTGTTTAAAGTTTGATGTTTTCCCAATCGAGTGATGCAGACACAAAGAGGTTTCTAGGGCAGATATGCAATAAACAACTTCCATATGGTAGCTGTATTTGTGGCCATTTCTTTGGTCCTTACTTAAGAAAGTTGAACCTTGATTGCAATCACCACAAATCACAGATGAAATTCGATGTTCCTCAATATGCCGAAGCTTGATTGCAATATCTGTGTGTAATCCTATTGAATGGCGCTCAGCATCACTGCTCTGACCGAGAAAACTGCAATCGAGAGAATTTCTCATAATGCAAGTTTGCTTCCAGCTTCAAACTTTCTAAAGACAGGACTAAAAATTATGTGAAAAATGGTTTTGAATGCAGCTGCTAAAACATTGGAGCATATTCTCTGAAGTTTGTGAATTACAAATCTCATTTGATTATGTTTCTCTTGTACAGGAACTTGTATAGTTCTGATGTATCGGAGATATTTACATGAGACGATTTGTAATTTTCAAATTTTCTTGAGAGTGGGCTCTGGATGGGATTTGCTTTTCAAATTTTATAAATAATGTGTCCTGTTTTTTTATATCATTTAATAATTTGTTGGATTTTATTATTTAAAAGAATGGCACAAAATTTAAATGAATCACCTTGCAAGTATGCTTGATTCAACTATCCAGAAGAAATACATAAATGAGGATGCAAAATGTTATAGCTTTGATATCTGCTTATAAGGATGAATATATTTAATGTTTATCTTTGCAGACCTTTATTGACTGGCTTTAATGAAAACAAACCTCATCCACGTTTTGAGTGTATGTTTGTCTACTCTGTTGAAACTAACTACTAACTTGCCCAAATAACATGTAGAGTCATAGAGTATGCCATATTGTACCCATGTTTAAAAGTTGGTACACTGTATGTATCCATTTGTTTACTGTATTCATGGGTACAGTATGTATTTATTGGTGCACTGTATATCCAATATATACAATATATCCACTGTTTATCCAGTGGTATATATTGGTACACTATATGTAAACACTGTATTTTTGGTATACAGAAAATAATGGGTGGAGTCATCGATTGAAGAATTTTGATAAAGCTGATATGGACTTTCATAAAATAAAAATTAAAGATTAACTTTAAGATGTGAGAGCTAAAAGTGCTTTGTTATCCTGGGTTTCTATAAATGTTGCTTGCCTAAATGAATGATATGTGATTCATCTGGCTTCTGCTGTTAGAAAATAATATTTGCCTGGCTTGGAATGCACAAGGGAATCAGAATCTGGGACAATTTATCTGTTGTATGTGTTTGTTAGCATGTATTAAAGACATCAACTGTTACAGGCTTGCCGAACTCTGGCCGTCGAGACTCGCTGACGGGATCTCTGGATTACAAGCGCCAGATCCCGTCAATGAGCCCCTTCTACAACACGGCTGGCCTGGGAGGGATCAATTCCCCCGCCGGCCCCATGGGACTGGTACAACCAGCTCAGTCGCTGACACCGCCACCATCATTGTCTGGATCAAACTCCAGTTTAGGACTTGGTAAGGGTGTGGTCTGTATGATTAAAAGGTGTGGATGTGGGTAGTTCTGGCAAAAAGATGGGCTGATTTTAATTTTGTGTATTTAATAAGTCAGAAAACTAAAATAGTTCTATGAAGACAGAGACAAATATGAAGTAAAAGAAATTCCTTAGCCAGAATAAGGGGAAAAACACATTGAGAGGGAGTGAGGATAAAACAAACAAATACACTAACCTATTTCTACTGGAAAAAGAAAAAAATATTTTGCTAAAAAAGTGCCTTCAGGTCTCTTCATCCTTAACCCAGTTCTTCAATGTTCCAGGCCTAGGCAGCAGTGGCAGGCTGTACTCCCCAGCCCCAGGGGCCGAGGCCAAGCTGCGTAATGGCAGCCTCGGCTCTGGGGGTCTCTTTGGCAACACCCTGTTCCCCAGCAGCAAGTCTGGGCTGCGTACAGCTAGTCTCTCCAAAGAAGTCACGGGGCGTAGCCGGCTGCTGGAGGACTTCAGGAACAACCGTATCCCTAACCTCCAGCTGAAGGATCTTCTGCATCATGTGGTGGAGTTCTCACAGGACCAGCATGGGTCAAGGTAGGTCAAGGTCAAGGTTGGTCAAGGTCACTGGGGCAGGTGGTTCATTCACCTTTCCACAGATAATTACGCACATCTGCCATCTATGTTATTCATGCTACATTCTGGTCTAGATATGTACATTGCTATTTCCAGTCAAGCAGATGCAGCTCCAGTGCTGCTGGAAGTAGGCATGATCACACAACCAGAAGAAATGGGTGAACCACATGTGTGTCCTTATCTGTGGAAAGATGCATTGTTGGGGTCTGAATATTTTTGAGCCTGGTGTTAATGCATGATAAAGGTTTACAAGTTGGACGATTTACTGTGAGCATATACTTTCTTCAAACATAGTAAATACTATTGCATGGTCGTACTTTATCCAACACTTTGTCATCCATGTGAGCTGGACTTGTTCTGGCTTTACTTGGCTCTGTCTGTGTGGCGTATGGGAGCTGAATACCCCCACAAGGGGTTTGAGGCATATTCCCTTTCCACAGTGTTGGAGAGTAACCAAGTCCCTGGTCCTCTGTGACTGGTGTGGACTGAACCTTGCATATTCCATCAACTTTCTGTAGTCACTAGTTGACCTTGACAGAGGAGAAAGACCATGCAAGGTACATTTCATGTCTAGGGAAACAGACATGCTGAAACTGTCAGTCCGATCGGTCATGACCGACAAATGTTTTAAGAACCACAATTTTGAATTTACAGTCATCATTCGACATCCTTCACTAATATTATTATATAAAACCCAAAGCATTTTCCCCCTCCATTTCAAACCTTTCACATTCACAAACAAACTAAGCTACCTAATCGTACTGGTAGTATCTGTCTCAAACAAATAAGGTGATTTTTGGTCGAACAAAAATCCATTCGGTCTGGCAAATTTTTTCATTACTGTCCAAATGTCCGGCCATTCTGAAAAGTTTTCAGCATGTCTGGGGAAATAAGATAAATTTTCGTAAGTCTACTCTCTACCCCATTTGTTCAGATTGTAGTGAGCCTTAGGCTTATATAAACCAGAAAGGTGAGTAGTGACACCTCTGATTACATTGCCCAGTATCCTTAACCCCCATCAGGTTATCTAGCTATAATGCCCTCTTTAAGTTTAAGCATTATAAATGTCCTTGTGAATGTGCATGTTTCTCATATTTTAATTATCTTCATTAATTAATGTTAAGGATTGTGTTCCGTCAGGTTTATCCAGCAGAAACTGGAGCGTGCCACGCCCGCAGAGAAAGCCATGGTGTTCAACGAGATTCTTACCGCAGCCTATAGCCTGATGACGGACGTGTTTGGCAACTACGTGATACAGAAGTTCTTTGAGTTTGGAACCACGGAGCACAAGCAGACCCTTGCGCAACGTGTGCGCGGCCACGTGCTCCAGCTGGCCCTGCAGATGTATGGGTGTCGTGTGATCCAGAAGGCGCTGGAGTCTATACCCCCTGACATGCAGGTGAGGACAGACACCTGTCTTACATTGAGGCCCTCTTCACATCCAAGTGGTGCAGTTCTCTGTATCACACCAGTTTGACTGGTACCAAGTTGCAGTTACGCGAGAGAGGGTTTTACTCCCTTTCCCAAGCCCCAGTGTACCGATCAGAATTAGGTGACTGTTGTACAAAACACTAGATGGGCTAAGTTGGCATTGTATCATTCAGCTTTTCACAGATAATGACCGTGGTTGTGGTATCATGCCTATTACTTTGATGGCTTGCATGATAAACCCATTTTGCGCATCACTGGAAACTGGCATGACACCTCAACTAGCAGAAATGGGTTCATTGTGCGTGCAGATCTCTGTCTTAATCTGTGGAAAGCTGAATACTGGACTGATACAAAAATCTGTACTTCCTGATGTGAAGAGGGCCATACCTCTAGTCTCACTTTCAGTTGTTTATATATGGTAACTTTCCTGCAGGATCAACCACAACAGTTCTGTTAAGAGACTAAGCATATCTCTCCATGTATTTCTTTTTATAGCCTTACCCAAACAGTGTAGCATATAATCTCATGTCCGCCTTGTGTTCAGTGAAAAAATACATATAAATATTTTTGTCATGCCACAGTACACTGAAACCTCTAGACATCTCTGTGTATATATCTTGTCATGCCTTCGTGGTGTACAGTGAAAAATATCAATATCTAAATGTATTTTCACCATACCCTGCCCAACAAGTAAACTGTAGCATATATCTCTTACTATTTATCTTGCCCCATCAATGTGACCAGTAGCATATGTCTCTCTATATATTTCCTGTGGTACGCAGCCTCACCAGTGCGTTGACATTGTCGTGTCACAGGTGGAGATCGTGAAGGAGCTAGACGGCCACGTGCTGAAGTGCGTCAAGGATCAGAATGGCAACCATGTGGTGCAGAAGTGCATTGAATGCGTGGAGCCCAAGCACCTGCAATTCATCATTGATGCTTTCAAGGGCCAGGTAATTAGATGTAATAGCATTGTGGTCATATTTGTTGGGAATGTTTTTGCCCAGTTTTTTTATTACATTAATTTCCGTCTTCATCCATGGAGATATGTGGAAATTAGGGAAAAAATAAGTCTGGCAAATGAAATTAATCATATATATATATATATGATTAATTTCATTAATTAGTGATTATCATCATTATTAAGTAAGTAAATAGTACACCATGCTTTCAGAGGCCACGTGCAAGAAATAATACAAAAAATCAATTAATTTTGCATTAATTTTGCATTAACCACTGTCACTTTCTAAAGAATGTTAAATGATATGCCATCATTAGTAAATAAGATTTTTTTTTTTTGTGGGGGGGGTAAGGGTGAATTATATTAAAATGAATAATATATTTTTGGGAGGGAAAAATATTCTGATAATATTTTGATATTTGAGCAGGTGTTTGCTCTATCCACCCATCCTTATGGCTGCCGCGTGATCCAACGCATTCTGGAGCACTGCGTCCCAGAACAGACGCACGGGATCCTGGAGGAGCTGCACCAGCACACGGAGCGCCTCGTGCAGGACCAGTACGGTAACTACGTGATACAGCACGTGCTGGAGCATGGCAGCCCTGAGGACAAGAGTAAGATTGTGAATGAGCTACGTGGGAAGGTTCTGGTACTTAGCCAGCACAAGTTTGCCAGGTAAGAGAATATTCATAACAACGGACTAACAGGTCCGAGGGTCAAATATGGCGACCCACTAAAAATCTTGAAGCTTAATTCCTGGTTAGACGCTGAATAGATTCCCCGCGTGAATTATGCAACAAGTAATCAAGTAGGCCAGCCATATTTAATCTACGGATCTGTCAGTTCACTGTTCAATCAGTTGTAGAATATGGGTTTCGACAACAAAAAAAAAATGTTGCATTAAAAATTTTAAGCAGTTAATATTAAGGTGCAAGAACAGGCATTTTCAAAATAGTAAAGGAATATACCACAGTTAAGTGCTTAATGCATGTACAGGAATGTTCTTTCATTAACAGTAATGTGTATTGGATCTAAAACCAACTCAACACTTGGTCATCCAGGTGAGCTGGACTTGTTCTGGCTTTACTTGGCTCTGTCTTTGTGGCGTATGGGAGCTGAATACCCCCACAAGGGGTTTGAGGCATATTCCCTTTCCACAGTGTTGGAGATCAACCAAGTCCCCAGTCCTCTGTGACTGGTGTGGACTGAACCTTGCATATTCCATCAACTTTCTGTAGTCACTAGTTGACCTTGACAGAGGAGAAAGACCATGCAAAGTACACTTATTTATTATGTTGAAGAACAAATCAATTTGATTATGTCCATTGATATGATTTTTAAATATATGTTTTGGTCATCAATGCATCACAAGAGTGGTAGTTCATGTTTTTGACTTTTGTCCATCTTTTGCAACTTTCATATATTCTCCTGAACATAAACACTCACTTTGGTTCTTCCAATGAAATTGCCATTCCCTGTATATATCAGAGATAACAGAACAGTCCATAGTTTTTCATTGAGAGATAACAGCTCGGGTACAGTAATTCTTCATCCTATATTTCAGCAATGTGGTGGAGAAGTGCGTATCCCACTGCTCCAGGTCGGAGAGAGCCATGATGATTGATGAAGTCTGCAGCATGCAGGACGGGTAAGCTCAGTTCTAAGATTGACCAGGAGAGAGGCAGAGGTGTCTCAGAATTACATGGATGTTTGGGTGTCATATTTATGCCCTTTCCATCCCTTTCTCTCTCTCTCTCTCTCGCTCTCATATTGAAACCGCAGTGACTGTTAATTGTTAAATGTAAGTTCCAGTATCAGAGTCATTCGTATTTGTCATTCTTATCCTGCTGGATGGCTAAAACCATTCACTCGTTTAAAATTGAGTGAACAGACGAAACAGGTAAATCATATATCTGGATCTGTCATAAATGAACATTTTCTGTCCGTCATTCACATGTTTGTTTCACTATGTCCAATTCCTCATACAACACCATGATGAGGTATCCGTTACGTTCATTCACCTGTATGTATATATATATACATTTCAGGGTGCACAGTGCCTTATACACCATGATGAAGGATCAGTTTGCCAACTACGTGGTTCAGAAGATGATCGACGTGGCGGAGCCGGCACAGCGCAAAATTCTGATGCACAAGATCCGTCCTCATGTGTCCACGCTGCGGAAGTACACCTACGGCAAGCACATCTTGGCCAAACTGGAGAAGTATTACATGAAGAACAACTCCGACCTGGGACCCATTGGATTGCCGCCAAATGGAGGGATGTAAAATGGAGAAACTAGCGTGAAGGTTTTGTTTCTTATATGAGGACGGCATTGCACTAGATGCGTGTGCCCCTTAAATAATTGAACTTGTGCAACCAGTGCTGGTATTTTTTTTCTTCAAATGTTTCTAAGTACGTGGCTAAATCTTTTCCTATAGACATTTTGTTTTAACTTGGTATGTATACAAATATCTTGGTGTCGGCTTTTGTTTTGGTCAGGAGAAATGCAGTTGAAAGTGTGCAAATATCGCTGCAAACTGTGCATTTGTTTTTGCTCATTTTATTCAATGGGTGTTTTAATTAATATTTTTCTATTTGTAAATGAGAAAAGTTTTGTTTTATGAAATGACTGAGGTAACCTTACAATATGTACATGAAGTGATAGATGTTGCAAAGGGCTTAGTATTTTGCACTTTTTGAAATGGAGCTTTTAATTTTGTGCAGGTCTGTGGATATTTAGAGTTCTTTTTTTTTTCTTGGACGACTCTCTTTGTAAGCTTCTCTTGATATCTCATTCATAATGTACAATTACGAATCACACAGCAACACTGGACATGTACTCCTTGTAAAGATGATGAAATCACTTGTAAAATATGTAAAATTTTGTATATTAGTTGTATAGTGTATAGTAAGGAATTTCAACAGTTCCTTTTTGTATTCCTCTTTGCTTGATCTTGTAATTAGGTCATGACCTTGACCTACAGTGACCTCTCTTGCACAAAAATTGTTTTTTTAGGAAAGCGCAGATCACTGACAGGGGAGCCAAACAATTGGTAAAAATTGTATAGGAGAAGCTTTTTTGTTCTTGTTTTAATTCATAACTTTTAATGTGCTTTCCCATGGACTACTCTTTTTCTCACAGACAATCTTGAAAATTTGGGGTAACCAAAGCCCATTGGGACTCTGCTTGCTTTTGCCCATCACTTATGACAGCTAAGGCACCAGCTCCTATTGACCTTTTTTATATAGATCACAATATACCTATATTCTTACTACATGGTTTTGAAGATAACGTTGAGAGTAGGAGAAAGTAATTCATCTGTTTTCTTTTAAATTGCTATGTAAGAATTTTTTTACTGATGGCTGTTTGAAGATAACAAAAGCTAGCTCAGAAACACTTAGTAGTATGGCTGTCAGCTTAAGTGGCAAAAACAGCATACATCACTTCATTTATAGATGGTAAATTCTAGTTACCTAAATTGTGCCAGTCATTTTTGATAGTGAAAGCAAGTTTCTGTCACATGATCCCTCAGAGAAATGTCTTGTTATTCCAAGAGTTTGTACACAATTTCCATCTTGGGTCTTTTTATTGTGGGTGATTCACTTAATTCCCGTTTCCAAAGATCAAGAAAATCCTACATTGTAAGGGAGCCTCAGTCATTTCTACTCATAACTCTTCGGCTTTTATTAATATTTTATTTATTTGTTTATATTTGTAATTAACCAAGCTGCATTGTAAATGGGTAAATAACTGGTATATAGCTGTATAAAGGGAGTTTTTGGAGATATTTTTCATACTATTTGGGGGTCTGTATAAAAAGAAGTATAAAACTAACTACCATGAATAGGAATTTACCATGGCCACTGTGCATAATGTACAGGGCTTTGAAGGGTTCCTCTGTATAATCTGAATATAGTTACATTGTATCAAATTGTATATGAGACTGTTACCTGCTCTAGGTTAGCAGCGTGGTTGATGTTCTTATTTGTATCATATTGTAGCAGTGTGTGATTTCTAGGCTTGTGGTTAATACTTTTATATACGAATATATGTTGGGGTGTTGAACAATGTGAAAAAAAAAATGCTTCAGAAAAAAGTGGTCAAGCTATATTTAGGCTGTCCGAATTATACTGAGTTGGTCACTTTTGGCAGCCAGTTTGGAAGTAGTAGGTAGAGAGATATTTTTCCCATTTGGTGAAATTGTAGGCTCACATTATATGATATTATATTGGTGTATTTATTAGTCCTATTTCAATAAAACATCTAACTGCTTTGCAAAGAGATGTGTTATAATGAATAGTTATAGGTATTAATTTTGGAAAGTTGAGTGATTTTTCATTATTGTTCAGTGTGTGTAGCATTTATACATATAAAATATAAAACACTGGTGTGTGGTGTTTTTACCAGGGGAATGCTTTGTTTTCCATGAGTGAATTAATTGAATATCACTGCCTTAGGCAGATCATTGTAATGTGAATGCTATTATATAAAATCTGTAAAGATGTAATAATATTAAAATAATGATAATTTCATAAATACATAATGTATGTATGTATGAGGCATTGTAAAGAATTCACGTAGCTTGGCTAGTAAAATTGGTAGTCGGGCAAATTTGTATATATAGAGACATAAAGGGAGATGCAATGTCGAACCTGTTTTCACCTTAAATTTTGGATTAAGGCGCATTGGACGTATTGCTTTTCTCTTTTGAAACTTTTTGCAAATTGCACTACAAATTGAGCTATATGTATATTAGATAAGATATGTTATTTTACCTTTGAAGAAAATGTCTGTAGAATTAATCATCATTACGTCCTGTTGCATGTGGTTTGGCAGAATTTAACAATTTTTTTCTCACATGTGGTCCTGTTTTTACTGGCCATACTGTTAGGTGCAGGTAAAGAGCTGTTATAGAGAAAGAAAGCATGGCTGGCAACTTTTGTTTTGTGTATGATATGCTTAATATGTATTTCACCACAATTTGTACACTTCACTCTTGTATCCATTGAAGCTTCAATGTTGATTGTACTATATGTATTATGATGACGATTGTACTTGTATGTATATTATGTATAACCAGGTTACTGGCATCAACTCGCAGGGGGGCCTGGCAACAGATGGCGCTGGTCACACTTCACCCAATCAGCTCAGCTTTTCTTTCCGAATGATCTTAATATATAGTTCATGGAAACTTCGGTTCAGTAGTGGTAATAGAACCTTAGTGAATGCTCAGAGATTTCAGTGGTTGAGTAAAATGGCCACCAGATGGCATCTTTCCTCCAGTAGGTGTCGCCCTTTTCAAGAAAAGCCGAATCCAGTGTGCCACCCTGACCTCCCTGGCTCATCTCCTTCCATTTGTCTGTATAGAGAGGCCAGAGCTGTACAAATGTGTAGAAACCTTGTGTATAAAGGGGCAGCAGGTGCCCCCACCCTGGCTGCCTGCCGTCCATGTGAATGTGTGAATATCTTGTAAAGAACAAATAATTTGACTGTATAGTGTAAAGTTGCAACCTTGATCTCTGGTCATTTACAATAGGGGGAGCTCACGCAGGAAAGATGGGGTGGCACAGCCTCGGTGTAATGTTTTTTCTTTTTCATTGGGAGATATCATGGGAGCTTGTGTTATATTGGAAATGGATAGCTGGGGATGATTGGGGAGAGACCTTGTGAAAATGGAAAGGGAGAGATGGGATTGTGATTGGTGTGGAATGCTCTCAAAATCTTGATTTTGAGGAAATATTTTTGAACGTAAACTTGGTCCGAGGAAATTATTCCAAGGGTTTCATGGCAATGCTGTACTATGATTGCCCATACTAAGGGCATGATGTTTGCATTTACTTGGAGGAAAAAAGTCAAGATCTTGTGAAGTATGTCAGTCCCTCTCTTCCCCATTTCAGATGTTGAGAAACAAAGGACCCAATCATAATCTTGTTACATGCAAATCAAGCATTATACAAGGTATACAATGCACGAGTCTTCAGTGCTTAACATCACCATTGGCCAGCAAGGTACCTGTTACATAAACTTGCTAACCAGAGGTCTATCCCTAAGTTATCCCTAGGGGAGGCTACCCCTGTTTGTTGATGCCAGTGACTACAAGCTGTATGTAAATGTAGCATGTTGTAGGAAAAAAGATCCGAAGTACTGTAGATTTTTTGTTGAAGAACTCTGTATATGGTGTACAAAGCTCATCAGACCCTACCCTCTTACTGGATGAATAAAAATGGGAACGGGCACTATTATAAACATTGAAGAATGGTCCATTGTATAATTATTGCATTCTGCCCTTTCAATGTTTTGCTAGTATAAAATAATCTTTCAAAGCATCAGATTGTGTTGTTTTTGTTGCCTCTTCATTCTGTGGACTTGGTCCTTAAAACTTATCAACCCCACTACCTGTCTATCAGGGTCACAAAATTATGTGCACTTTTCTCGGTGTAGACAAGTACCATCATGTGTCGGGAGATAATACATCAGTGAATATCTAGTGAAGAACCGATCTGTGGTCCTGGTAGAGGGACATCAACCCACTGGCTTTTGGAGTAGGGACTGCTGATCAAATATACCAGTTTGTAAAACGCTCTTAGCTGACAAAAGTTCGTCTTTACTAATTACAGTAATTCAAAAATATAGTTCAGCAGGTTTTATACATTTTAAACTAGAAAAGAGGAATGTAGGACTTGGCTTTAAGTGCAGTGCTGCTCCAGTCTGTCTGTACAGTTAACACTGATGATAATCCAGGGGGGGAATGAGTATCAAGACACCATGGCCTTCTTTTGTTACAGCATTTCTCAATGACTTACATTTCTGTTTCTATTCTGTAACACAACACTACACTGGATGATTAGGAGTATTTGCTCTCAAGGCCTATAAAGTTTAGTAGAGGTTCATTTTCTTGTACCTGAGGGGGGGAGGGGGGTATTGGGGAGTATCTACTAGTATTTGTACATACAATCAATTTGAAAACAAGTTATTAGTGTATTGAACAAAAATTTATTGGAAAAAAAAAAGACATCCCAATTACTGACGTTAAGCACCCTAACACACTAAAACGCTATAATATATTTATAATATGGAAAAGATGGTAGAAGTCTCTATAACATGCAGAATACTTGGCTTGACTGATGTATACTAAGGCACAAGTTTGAGGGAATCTCACTCCCTTTTTGAGAATCGTTTGTTGCAAAACGGCTTGTATGTCGCCATTGACATTTTTGATCAAATTGACTTTCATAACATGCTTTGGCCAACTATAGCCATTAAAAAGAGGTGAGAAAGGTATTGTCCACTAAACCATCCGCATTGAATTATATGTGCAAAAAAATGATTACTAGCCATTCAAACGGCACAGAATTGAAGTCACGCAGGAGATGATGTCGTCAAACAATACAAATAAATAAATAAAAATAATGTCCAGTATTTCACATATCTTAGAGCTACATTTTAAGTGATCCTACTAAATACCTGTATTACACACTGTGAATATACTTATATATCATATAAACTCTGTATAGATTGCGATTTGAAACTTGCTTATTTTCACACAAAAACAACCTGTGAAAGTGATGAAAGCTTAAATAATATATGTGGTAGCAATAGACACTTCGAGCCAAGCACAATCATATATGATAATATCTCGACTGTTCATCTATATATATATTAATATATACATTTGTATGTGCATCGTGTATACTTCATTGACTTCATGATATAATGCTCATCAGAAGATTTGCAACACATGATTTACCCCTTTTGAAATATTTACAAGGATTATAACACAGATCTGAATTAACAGCTTTTGAAATATTTACACTGACAACAAGTTTGTATTTGTAATGTGCACCGATGAAACCCAAGCAAATTTGATCATTTTTAAAAAGTCTTCAAGCGAAAATATTTCTGAAAACTCCCTTTTTGCATAGTTGGCCAAAAAGAATGCACTAACTGTAACAACGATAAAACCTTGACATTAAATTATCATGATAACTTTGAGTTTCTAAATGCATATCGTGTAAGGTGAGAGAAATTGCAATTCCAATTTCAACTGGTCTGATATATGGTACGGGAGACCTTTTCATGTGTAGATCTACCTTGGTCATAGACTTATCATTGACCTTCATACAGGACCATCGAGGTCATGGTTCACACCAATGAACTACATACAGGACCATCAAGGTCATGGTTCACACAAGTGACCTTCATACAGAATTAAATAGGTCACAGATCACACCAATGACCTAGACAAACTTCTAAATTAGATCATTATTGACATGAATCTCTACAATGTACACTGTACACACACCATATACCTCCACATAATTACTCTGATTTATTCAAAGAGGCAGTTCATGCAATTTAATACAACATTATTTTCAAACCCGAAAAATTCCATAGGCACAACTGTTACAATTATAGCATGGAAACAGAAACATTTCAGGCAAGAAAAAAAATCTCATGACTTGCCCCTTTTCTCCTTCACAATTATACATAGCACTCCAATTGACCCGTATTAAAAAGTGTGACTATTATTCACAAGATGCAGGTTCATCCCATTTTAAAGTTTTCTTTTGTATATCTTACCAACAGGGAATTTTTAATAATAGACATCTGGTAGTTTCTTTACACAGAAATAATTAAGTTTAAAGTTTGATGATCTTGATGTATAACTGTAGCAATTTTGGCAGCCTATGAGGAGCTAGTCCAGCTCTTATTTTAGCACAAACAAACAAACAAACAAATAAATTAAGAAAGAAACAGAATTGAGAAAGTGAAAAAAGTGCCCATCTAAAGCTTTAAGAGAAGAATTTTATGAAGAAACAATCTGTCAAAAATTTAGGAATACGCATTTTTTAAACTTATGGCAAATTGAAAAGTGCAAGATTAAAATTTGTGAAATTCCACCATATTTAGTTTTCCCTGAGGTGTAACACTTGTTTATCATGAGCGGTGCATACATCAAAAGAGTGCAAAGCCAGAACACCCCCGACTCTACAACCTGGTGATCATCTGCAAACCATGCAAGAATCATCCAAAAAGTTTACCCCATGGATAAAAATAATAAATATTCCAGGGTTCTGTTACAGAAAAGAACTTGGGGGTCCCAAAATAGGCTGCAACTTTTTTCCCTAAAAACTCTGGTATACTTCAATTCAGTGCCAATCCAAGGCAGTCCACTAAAATAATGTAACTATTTGTTGAAAACAGCTATTTCTTAAACTTCATTAGACATACAATAATTGATTTAACTTGGACCATGACTGATTAATCTGGATTAGAAATACCCTTAATTTGAAATTTTTGGTCTAAGGTGAAGACTAACTAGGTTTTTGAAGTACTTTCATGAAACTGCATGGCACCTCTAAATGTGTAAAATCACAGTTTGCTTTAATGCCTGTAAGAATGTGAGCAAGACCAATGACCTGCAAAAATGATATGGTTGTACAAATATACAACAGTGATTTTCTTTCACTCACTTTACTTTCCAATTATATAAGACACATATTGTACTGTTAACTTAATTTAAGTGTACTTCTCTAAACAAGTAGTTGCCCAAACTATGCCACACAATCATTTTCATTTTCTGTCCATTTTTTTTCATAATTTAATTTAATTTTTTTTCCTTCCGTCAAATCTGTATAGCAGATTTTGAGCACCTGTATTTACTGTTGTCATGGGACTTATACACACAACTCAAAAGAATAACTCTTTTCCTCAGTCCTTTTGACAATTTGGCATTTTTGGAGAAAATGTTGTATCTACATTCAAGATCCCAAAATGAAATCTAATGATCAAAACCTGTCTCTTTTAGTAGATGATCAGTGTCTGCAATAAAGTGCTGTATATCCAGATATTAGTTGGCTTAATTATCTGTTGAAACACGTCACACCACATTTTCATTCTTAGGGGAAATCCAACAACATTAACACTGCTGACAGTGATCAACTGTTTATATATACATATCAGTTGCATAGATTACTTTATGTATATTATGTGATATTCATAAATACTGAAAAGATACTAATAAAGTAGATATGATGTGTTGAATACAAGTGCCCTAGTACTTTTCTTCTACACAATTACTCATCCTTCACAAAAGGAAAACAACCTTACACACCTATTCCTAATAGATTAAAAACACAAAGGTACGTGTTCTCATATCATTCTGAGATATTTTCACTCACTGACAAGTTGAAGTGACCTTCACTCATGGAATTGACCTTCACCCATGGGAGTGACCTTCACCCTTGACCTTGCTGACCCAGCAGCAAGAGTCCACTTTATGAAATGACGAGGTGGTGGAAAGAGATCCAGGTTTTCTCCTCTGTAAATCATATGCAGGTTTCTTTTCACTTACACTGTGTTAACTCCAAGTCTGTTCTTTCTATTCGTAGACTCTTTGAGATATTTCATCCAATGAGATGAAAGGAAACCCCTAACCTCTACTCTATAAATCGAGTGCAGGCTTTTTTCCATTTACACTGTGTGCACCACATATCTCTGTTTTCCATCCCGTACACTTTTCGACATTTTTTCACCTCACTTCGAGATTTTTTGTGAGTTGGGGAGCACCTCGGAGGAGTCCCAAATACATGAGATTTTGGAGAAGCAGCCTGGTGGCTGTGGAAACGTTCCTGGGAGTTGGGTTTCACAATTTTTATGGCAGAGGTCATCTGTAACAATGAAAAAGATGGCTTTTTATTATAATGTACCCTGTTGAGAGATCTGGATCTTGAAACACTTAACATTAGAAAGTTCCAATAATCTGACGTAAACATTCCACAGTATTTAACAATTTGAAATCTCTCTCTCACCTACACACACACACACTCTATCTTCATATGTATAATACATATGTTTTTCAATACGATGACTTTGACCATGAAGGATTTACATATATATATTCATGCATGTATTCATCAATTGGATGTCTGTTAGGCTTACTATCATCTCTACAAGTGTTGTCCCCTTTATACTCACATAGGAGCCAGCAGGTTCAGAGGCTGAGATCTGATGTGGGCGTGGGGAGTCACCACTTGTCCATGACAAAGTCTGCTGCAGGTTGCCAGGAATGTTGATTGGGCTTGTATTGGAATCTTCTGTGAAATGAGGTTTAACTTCCTGTAATAAAAATAATCATAATGCACAGAGCACTTAATATTGTATTCAATAAAAGTCAAATATCTGAATACTGCTTTATTTTNACTCTATAAATCGAGTGCAGGCTTTCTTCCATTTACACTGTGTGCACCACATATCTCTGTTTTCCATCCCGTACACTTTTCGACATTTTTTCACCTCACTTCGAGATTTTTTGTGAGTTGGGGAGCACCTCGGAGGAGTCCCAAATACATGAGATTTTGGAGAAGCAGCCTGGTGGCTGTGGAAACGTTCCTGGGAGTTGGGTTTCACAATTTTTATGGCAGAGGTCATCTGTAACAATGAAAAAGATGGCTTTTTATTATAATATGTACCCTGTTGAGAGATCTGGATCTTGAAACACTTAACATTAGAAAGTTCCAATAATCTGACGTAAACATTCCACAGTATTTAACAATTTGAAATCTCTCTCTCACCTACACACACACACACACACACAGAAACACACACACTCTATCTTCATATGTATAATACATATGTTTTTCAATACGATGACTTTGACCATGAAGGATTTACATATATATATTCATGCATGTATTCATCAATTGGATGTCTGTTAGGCTTACTATCATCTCTACAAGTGCTGTCCCCTTTATACTCACATAGGAGCCAGCAGGTTCAGAGGCTGAGATCTGATGTGGGCGTGGGGAGTCACCACTTGTCCATGACAAAGTCTGCTGCAGGTTGCCAGGAATGTTGATTGGGCTTGTATTGGAATCTTCTGTGAAATGAGGTTTAACTTCCTGTAATAAAAATAATCATAATGCACAGAGCACTTAATATTGTATTCAATAAAAGTCAAATATCTGAACACTGCTTTTTTTTTAAATCAGAACTTTGGCCAATTCATGGAATTCAGAATGTTGTGCATGTGTGTTTGTTTGTGCATGCACATACATATATGTTGATTAAAAAGGTAATAGCCTGAAAAGAGCTTAATAAAGGCATAATATGCCATCTTAATTTCTTCTCATAGAAACTAACCCAATCCAAGGAAGACAGGACGAGGTACTGGGGAACAAAAACAACATGCTGAGTAAGTCTTCTCACCTTGACTTTTCTCAGATAATCGTGGTCCATATTCCACCTGTGAGCGGTTTCAAAATGGCTGACATCTGGCGGTGAAGATGTGTACATCTGAGCGAAGGAATCCACCATACTGTCAACCGTAACCTCTTCCTCTGTGTAATAGAACTCCTCTTCATGGTCGGAGAGATCAGCGTCTGAACTTTGTGGTCTAAACAAGAAAGTTTTTCAAATTCGTCAAATTTCTCGAATTCACCTGCTATATAGCAGAGCTCAAACTAGGAGGTAAATTATGCTTAGAATAGAATGTTTTAACAAGCTTTTTTTTATTTGCCAAATAACAAGCAATTACAATATTTAGTCTCAAATATTTCATCCAAGAATTGGTCTTTAAATCAAATGCATATTTTTTCATTTTTTCACTTGCATACATTCAAGTAAATAATGCCTAATAATTTTAACCGTAAAGATGGTAATTAAAATGGAATCTTTTTTTCTTCTTTTTTTTTTATTTGCATTCATACAAATATAGATACTTCAACTGCCTTAATTCTTACCCCAAATGTGCTTCCCTGACATGTTTCTCGATGGCTTCACATGTACTGTGGAATCTGCCGCAGCCCGGCCAAGTACACTTGAATATGGTTCTTGTTGATGGCTACAATGCATAATATTTTGATTGTTAAGCTGATTGTAAAATATTCTGTTAACAGATATAAATCTGAAGCAGACTGCACATTTGCTTTATAATGTCAAGATCATTAAAATAAAAATCAGTTTATTGTCACACCAACAACAATGTCACAATGACCCCCATTTCACTGTCACACCTAACACAATGTCACGATGACCCAGACTCCTTGTCACACCTAACACAATGTCACAATGACCCAGTCTCACTGTCACACCTAACACAATGTCACGATGACCCAGTCTCATTGTCATACCTAACACAATGTCACGATGACCCAGTCTCATTGTCACACCTAACACAATGTCACGATGACCCAGTCTCATTGTCACACCTAACACAATGTCACGATGACCCAGACTCCTTGTCACACCTAACACAATGTCAAAATGACGCAGACTCCTTGTCACACCATACACAATGTCACAATGATCAAAACTCCTTGTCACACCTAACACAATGACACAATGACCCAGTCTCATTGTCATATCTAACACAATGTCACAATGATCCAGACTCTTGTCACACCTAAAACAAAGACCCACACTGCAACAAGACGCAATGAAAACACAATCCTCACCTTTCTCCTCTTACTGCTCCCTTCCTCGCTGAAGTAGGCAGAGTTAGAATCTTCCAAAACAATTCCTTCATCCAGAGAGGATCCAAACACAGTAAATGAAGGGGCGCTTTCACTGACTTGCATGGGTGGCGAAGGAGACCCAGACTTAAAGCTCGAAGACAAGAAACTGTCATTGAAGGAGCGTGGACTCATTGCTGTTGGCTCTCCTGAAAAATTGTTATTATTTTATTTTTATTTATTAGGTAATAATTTTATTTTAAAGACACTGCACAGAGTATTCTGTCAGTATAGTAATTATTTATGACTATATAAAGTTCTTGCACATAATACAAAAAGACGCCCCTTAAAGTTATCTGCTGGAAACTTTACCAGTAATTAATCATGTTGGCTACTTTTCTAGCTTTTGCACATAATGAATGCTAGACTTATTCATATATTCAATTAATATAAAATACATTAGCCTTGATCCTTCCTCTGCCAGATCTCCAATCATACAATAATTCAAAATGTACAATGTCCATTACTGTGTCACATTGATAATAGACAGATGAACATACACTCATCCATTTTTTGGAGGACACAACTGAGGAAGAGTTCACAATGTTTTGTTGTTACAGCAATGGCACACAGTGGTCATTTTTTAGTTGTTACAGTCGATTCTCAATTGTTAAAGATTATTTAAAAAGAAGTGCACCTTTTAACGTTGGTGACACGGGACTACAAGACAGAGCAGTGAGAACCAAGGCCGCAGACCTCTCGTCCATCATCTCAGCCTCATTCTGGTCTGTTTGCATCAAGTCATCGAGATCTGGTGAACCCTTTCTGCGACGTCTGAAGCAAAATAATAATAATAATAATACAATAAAATAAATAATGATGATGATGATAATAATAATGGACTTAAAGTGAATAATAACTATAATAGTTAATGACATTAATACACATAAATGACATAATTAAGGAAAAAATACTCTTTTCATTAAATGGCTTGCGCTTGTCCTCGACATGCTAATTACTAAGTAAAGCTTTGTGTTGGATCGTTATTAGATCTGTGGGATATCTGTAATAATCTGCAAAATTTTATTTTATAACTCTTTTGTAGGAGGAACATAAAGATGACATGCCTTAAAGCTTAATTTATACACTAACAACTTATTAATTTGTTCATTAATTGAAAAATCAATACAAGACTCATACTGTGTTAAAATGTCTTTTATTTACACTGCTAGGTCAAACTTTAATAACATGGTATACTTTATCTAACATCAATCAGGAGAGTAATATTATGTTCTTTAGTCATTTACGTAAATTCTTTTTTCTCTGGACTGAAATAATAATATCTTTAACATCTGGCCAAAAAGGAAATAAGAAAGATAGAAAAGAAACCACTACACTTTTGAGTGTGGATGTGAGCCTAGAAATGGAATCTGTGCCCTTATTCACGTAGCATTCCACACAAGTTCTATGTCCTCAGTATATTACCAACCTTGAGGTCATGTCCTTAAAGTGACAGAGTAACATGAACATTTAACGCTGAGGAACTTGACGTTTAACGCCCTAATTGAAAGCGATGGGGCAAAGGTTAAGAGAGGATGATGTTCTTAGGGATGGAGATGATTGAGCAATGGGCTATAAGGCCAAGTTACACAAAATTATTTTTGTCTGAAATTGGTCTTGACTGAAAGACCAGAAACTTGGTCCCATTCAGCTCAAGATTAATCTATAATGACATACTCCAATACAGTCAAAAACATTGGTCAATGCCATGCTTTTATTAACAGTATTTTATTCAGTCAGGTTACCACTGATTATAACCTCAAGTTCAAAGACACTCAATGTAAGTCTAAAAGTTAACAGCAATTTCGGGGCTAAAGTCCTTCACTGAAATGGGGCCCAATTATCTACGCCTGTCATGATTTATGCCTGAGTCACTTTGTGAACCTAGGATTGCTATTGGAGTTCATTAGCACCCCCCCCCCCCCCATGAGGAAGGGGGGGGGCGGTGCATTGCTTCACTTGTTATTCTAGCTAGAATGGAAAAATCACTTGGTTCTTTTTTTAAGTCCACATTGTCCCTAGACAGTGCTAATGGGTTGACTAGTCCAATTAAAAAAAAAACTACACTTCCTTGAGCAAAAATAAAACAGCTTATGTTTTAAACCATAGATCATTAAATAGTTAATTAGTAAAGTGAGATCAGATTAATCATAAATTGAAGGGGATCAAAGTTTTCTGGTCCAATGAATCATTTGCCCATATATATATATATATATATATATATATATATATATATATATATATATATATATATATATATATATATATCACATGATAATACTGCACAGTGGCACTTGAAAACCATTTGAGTACTATACATCATAACATTTCAAAGAGTACCCCGTTTGAAAATGAACTTTGTTGGCCCTTATTGTTATCATGCATGTTTGATGGCAGAGAAAAAAGGGAATTTTTGTTATGCAAGAAACTTTTTAACTTCTAAAAATCCCTGATTTGATCCCTTATTCAGACAGGTTTAGAATATAATGTCTCAGGCAAAATGTGGTATCTTAATTCATTAATTCTCTCTCACTATCCCCCCCCTCCCAATTAATAAACCCCCCTTCCTTCTTGATTTCTTGCATTGACCTGCACCTCCCTATTACTAGTATAACAAAAGTACATTCAAAGCCTTGAGGCACAAGTATTGCGTAAGTTTTTCAGATGTCAACAACCTCTCGTCCCAGAAAGCCACCAACAACAAAAATGTTCTTTTCTGACCTGGAGCCTTTCAGTGAAATAACCATCCCACATGTAACCCACATCATTCCAGTGACTTTGTTATTGTTTACAACACTGCACTAGATTTCAGCCACTTACTTAAAGTACACAAATATGATTTACACAGTTTGAGAGACCCAGCTATCTATAGAGCTCTTGTAACTGATCTTCCATGATTCAACTGTTACAGGTGTCAAATAGCAAGCATGTGATCATAATTGTAACAGGTAAAAAAATAAATGATAATAATAATATCAGTGATATAGTGATGAGACATATATCATAACTTGCTGGTCATAGCATAATTAAAGAACCCCTCACGGTCAGCTAGTAAATCTGGGTCACTGCACTGATTGGCATGTAAATAAAACCTCAAGGTCAGCTTAACCTTACAGCACCCTGAGTTTCACTGATTGCTGCTGGAGACTCACCTCTATGCTGACAATATATGTGAGATTCGGGGCCATGGCTATAGTCCGAAGGTTCATTAGTCCGAAGGTCCACTGGTCTGAATTTTCACTATAGAACCTTTGGACCAATGAACCCCTGATTAAAAAACCAATGAAAAAGTTACCATTTATCGGACCAATGAACCTTTAGACTATTGACCCCCCCCCCCCCCCCCCATCCATGTGAGACTCTAGTACCAGTAACCTCTGAAACTCAGGCCAAGAAAAATTCAATTCAAACTGGTAACCAGCCAAGGAATCTTCAAATCAAAATTTGTAGCCAAATATTTAATTAACTGTGTCAAAGCTTATGCAGAAATATGATTTTACTTGTAGATCTATGCAAGTCTTATTTAAAATCTTAATTTGTGTTATCTTATTTTATTATCTTATTTATTCTTATTATTATAATTTAATTCCTGAAAAAGAATGTTTAGTTTTACCGTCACTAGAGGTCACTACTGTCATTGTTTTGAAAAGGAGTGTGTACTGCGAGTCCAAAGGTCCATTGTCCAAAATAGGTATCACTGGACCAACAAATATGACAGAACTGACAGAAAAAAACATATATGCAGAAAAACAAATTAACAGGTCAATAATCAAACTGGTCAAAATTGGACATGGGAAATCATCAAAATTTTTAAAAAATTGTATCGATTAATAAGTAATTAAGTAACAAAAAACAAAAGAAATTGGTCTTAATATTGGCCGATCCAGAATCAACTTGCAGAATTCTGTTAAAACAACACAGTCAATGAAAATCTATTTGGAAATCAGACCAATGAATGTCTAGTGATAAACACATCATTTCTCAACAATAAAATCCCCTGACAACAATTTATACCAATGAAGCACCCGCATACAACATCTAAGGTTACTAGCACTCTCTTTCTTTATTTAACTCGAGTTTCATTATCAAGTAATCAATATGCATATGTTCTGAGGGCAAAATGACATCCCAACCTGAGAAACAATAACCATATTGTTTTATTTTCAAAGTTGCCTTTCTCATGCTACCTGAAACCTAGGAATGTATTAATCACTCACCCATGACACACTGAAAAATGACAGGCACATAATCATCTCAACTTTTTATCTTTTTTAGGTTTGGTTTGCATTCTACATTCTCATTATTATATAAATTATAAGTATCAAGACCAGTGAAGCATCAACATTTTTATTACTTAAGTAAAACATTCTTATTTCTACATTATTTCATTTATTTAGTTTTCATTCATTAGTTATTTATTTATTCATATAATATGTAAACCAATTATCCTGACCACTGACACATTTCTTATTTCCCAACTCACTCACAATAGTCCCTAATCTAAAAGCTATATGCAGTATTTTACGGCATTGGTGGAATTTTTTGCATTGCCTTAGTGTGCTCAGAGTCCGAAACCACAACATCTGTGTTAAACTGTGCACCGCAATCCCCTGCCAAGGATCATCTATATACATGTATATTCAACCCTGTACGGTAATTACTCTGTAATTTCAAACAATTATAATAATTAAAAGAGAAAGAAAAAAGTTAGTTAGTATGACTTTGAATTTTGGATTCTAATACTTTGGAAAGTTAGTGAGTTAGTTCTCTTTGAGTCAGAAAGTATACCACAGTAAGCATATGGAAATGATAAATTTTGAAAAAGTGAAAAAAAAAATAAAGAAAAGTTAGGCCTTTCAATAGCAATTACCGTGCATATATGAACCAAAAGCCATGTACAAGTATGAGGATGCAAACCAACACCTAGACCCCTCAGGGTAAATTATTTTAAGATAAACCCTGGGCAACACCACCATACATGCACTGTAAATGGGTTTTGAAGCCAGTTAATTCAAGCAGAACATGACCATAGGCATGTGACCTAGCCCAAACAGTGGAAAATAAACTGTGAAATGTATTCCACTTAGATTCCTGAATTAAATAAACATCAAGTGCACGCAGAGAGCTCAGTTGTCCAATTCAATTCTGTTGTTTATTTTTCTTTTGTTGTGAACACAACACTGAGAAAAATAGCAATAACTTCAACAAAATATTAACATGAGTTTGTACAATAACAATAATAATGACAAATATTCAAAATAATGATAATAATTTGTATGCCCCCCCCCCCCTCAAAATTCGATGAGGGGTCAATTAACTGAAGCCTCCATGCATGGTCTTGTTATAAATAAAAATTTCCCATTAAGATAAGTACATATCCCAGCAAGCACTTGTGGTCATACCTTATCAGTAGCCCTATCTTATACCTGAGAGTACACTTTCCCTGCTTGCTATATCAGGTCAGTAGATTTGTATGTGTCAAATAAGCAATGAGATGCTATTTATATCTTCTGCTGCATGGGCCAACTTAGAAAGGATTTGGTGGTGGCAATAATGCAGCTATCAGTGTGTGTGTGTGTGTGTGTGTTGGGAAAGAGAGGGTTTGGAAGAACGCTACACAATGAAGCTTTAAATACAAGTTTTATGAAGGAAAAGGACTCAGGCCTTGCCTTATGTAATACTGTTGATCACAAGATCTCAGCTTTATGTCAACAAAGCTATGCTATTTTTAAAAACATTCCAAGGGCAAATTCAGTTTCTTTATTGATTGACATTAGTGTATTTATTCATTGATAATTTTTAAAGGGGGGAGGTAAAACCGCTCTGACTGAGCTCTCAATCAAATACATCCAAAACATTCCCTTTCAAGAAAAACTAATTCCTTCTAAAGTAATAGATCCTTAATTGAATCAAGAATTAGTGTGAAATAGTCCAGAATACATAAGAGATTTAACAACAATGGCAGTAAGATTTTTATAAAATTAAATGAATAGACATTAAACCCTTCTCTTAAAAATCCTGCATTTGACTCTGCAAGTCACAAGATTATGCAATTAATAATGGAGTGCTATTTATAACTCTCACTCTGGGAAACCCCCTTCTAAAAATATAAATGACACAATGAGTAATAAAAATTATCTGCATAATATCATGAAATGGAGCAATACTCACTCAAATCAATTCCACTGTATATCACTCTGTGGCAACATTTTTTTATCACATTATACTATATAAAATTGTTGCTTTAGTAAAATTTTCAAAGGAAATACATTGAAGAATATGCAACAAATTTGCATATGATTAATATTTCAAATTGAGGGCAGTGAGGGTGAAAAAACTCATCATTTTTTTTTTATTCTTCTTCGAAAAATGTTGTCATATATTACACTTCTCACCTCCAAATTCTTATTTCCTTACTTTCCGCAAACGGCAAGAGTTACTAGTTACTGTCCCCAACCCTTTATTACAACTTCTCTGTACTCATTCAAAAAACCAAAGCAAAAATTTTACATCAATAAAAAAACGCATCGCACTGAGGAATGCATGATGCAGATGCAGGAAAAAAAACCCGATCCACCCCCTACGACGCCAATAACGTTGCTCACAATATACAGTTACCATACAGCGGCATTGTTAACGTGAACCGCGATGCCGCAGCACGCGTGCCTGGACGCCGCGCAGTAAACGATCACGTTCCGTGTCAAACAGCTGTTTAAGGGTGACCTAGTTTTGCCAACTTTAGCGGTGCGCGCATGGGCACGTTGATATTACGCCACCGGTCACGAACCCCCACGAATTCTCCACAACAGCTGTTTTGTTCAGTAATTCTTGATTTACGAAAATTCTTTGACCTGTATTTAATAGCCAATATTTCCGTTGCTGGGGTAAATTTTTTGATGAAACGAAAATAAACTGTTGGGGAAAATCCCGGTTTGCGTTTTTTGACGTTAAATCTAGAGCTCAAATCTTACACTGTTACATAGAATAGTAATACGATCAATTTGATGATTTTTTTCTGTATTTTCACTCCCTACAAAAACTTACCCTGTCCTCAACGGGACGTCGATCACTTGTGACACTGTCCTTTTCTTGTTTGTTTCTGAGGACAAAGTTATCGAAGGAGTCGGGTCGCTTTTTAAGTTCAAGTCCGCCATCTTTGAGTAATCTGTGTCCATGTCTTGCAATCGGGCAGATTTCCGGCTCTCTAACAGCCGAACCTCTTCCAGCGGTCTCATGAGCTCCGGGACGCTGTCCTGGTCTTCCCCGGCGTCCGGTATAATGATCACAATGTCCTCGGGTTTGTTGTGTTTTATCACCACCCCTGACAGTTCCCGGCCATGATGGGTGAGGAAAACTTTCTGTCCCCGCTTTAGTTTGGCGTCCGTGATACTCTGAAAACCCGGGCCAATGATATCAGTGTCAAGGATCTCTTTTGTGTGACCATCGTCGAAGTTGACGGTGTAAAAAGTCCGACCGTTCGGCGTCGGATTTGAGCCCTCCAGAACGCCCGAGTAATACCGTCCATCTTGCCACTGAGCGGCCACTCTCGTGCCTACAATAGAACGCTTCGCTAGGCGTCTTGTCCCAAACATCGTCTCTCGAAACTCCCTCAACCGTTCCCCAAGGTATCGTTCCACTTTTCTAAGTTTTTTGGGGTAAGCAATACCAGGAGATTTATTAGATTTTTTGCCTTAAAGTTGATGTCGCAGTTTCACCGGTTGCTTACATCAGCGGTTTGTTTTGGTCTAGATGGGAGGCGTGGAAATACCGGCAAACTTGGTGTACCACGTGACATTGTTTTGGTCCGCTGATTGGTTTATCGCAATAGCTTCTACTTTATGATTGGTTTAAAGTTCTAAAACTGTCAATCAATCAAAAGTGACAACCAGCTGATTGTTAAGATTTTTTTCAATACAACTTTTATTTCACTGATTTAGTACTTACATATGAGCTCAATAAAGATATTCACTAACATTTTATCGTACAGACAACATATATTCTTCTCATTTTGTGTCCTTGAGCGTCAATTTTGTTTCGATCTGCCAGGTTTTTTACCGCAACAAGCTCCGCCCTACATTCTGTTTATATAGATTCTATGAAGTCAAATTTTACCCTCTGCAAAACATCTACCTAGTATTTCAGTAATGCCACAAAGATCATAAACATACTTTTTAAGCTGTGGATTAAGCCGGAAACCACTGATTAATGCCTTTAATACATACTTACACATTTGTGACACTTTGAATACGTTTTACTAAAATGGGGCAATTTTCCAAAAGGGGAGGGAGGATGTTGGAACAGCGGCAACAAACGAGGTGCTCAGGTCACAGGTTGTTCATAACACATCCCGAAGATCCCACTAAAAATGTCAGCCCCCTTGTAACAGCACAGATGCCACCGTGGACACCTTGGAGTAGTTCGCTCATTCTTTTTGTGACTTTGGCATCGGCGTTAGGGCACCCAGAGCAGTTTGAAGGTATGCGGCGCGTTTATTTGCTCACCTGAAATTTGTAAAGTATTCGAATATGCATGCAGTTTGCTAAGCCTAATCGTTTGTTCAAGTTATCTGAATGAAATAGACATACTGTACGTGTATCTTTGTAAATAACATGTGAATGCTGTGCTGTATGTGTTCAGACCCATATATATATATATATTTGGTGCTTGAAACTCCAAAATTGTGCTATTTATTTGCATATATCTGATGGCTTTCTTATTATTCTACTTGGCCACCCCCCCCCCCCTCCGGCCCCCTCCCCAAAAATAAATGAATAATAATAGCAACAACAACAACAAAAATAATAATAATGGTTAAAAATAAAATAAGTATAGCAAAGGCAACATGTGCAACTTGATTAGAACTTGGAAAAATGTTAATAATTAATTTTAAATTATAAATAAATATTACGTACTGTTGTACATCAGATGTACAAGTACACCAAACCATGCACATACATCTTTGTAACAAGGTTTCCCATCGGTGAAATAGATTTTTCTAGATCACTTGTGACATTAGCGATTTTGAAATTACAAATCATTTCTAAGATTAATTATATATACATCATTTCTGAGATTAAGTACGACATTTTTTTCTGACCAATGTTCAATGATATCCTAACTTTTGGTAACTCGCATCATTGAATCAGCAGATCTGTAGCCAGGTCGATTGGTGGGGTTCGAAAGAACCCCTTTTTTTGCCAGAAAAAGGTCTCCTTCAGGCAAAATTATATCTAGGTACATGAAGGTTTCATGGTAAAAGGTCCATTTTTTTCAGATAAAGAACCGCCCATTTGAAATCAGCCATAAATGACAACAATTTTAAGGAAAGGGCTTATAGATGACAGGCCTTTCAAAATCATGTCTAATAGCTTAAAGGATTTTTTGGTCCCTTTCAGTTTTATTATACCTGATATGTTTTACTTGTAATTGCGTTGCAGATTATTTACTATGTCGTCACTGTGGCCATGAGGTTGCCAAGGCGTCACATTTGTTACACGTACCTAGTCCACTGGCCTTGAGACAGAGAAACGACACAATACTGGGCGTGAAGGAAGTCCTCATACAACTCTTTCAAAATCCACAAGGTAAATATATCCAAGTGTACTTGAAAGGGATGTGATGATGTACATGCATAACAAGAATTCCCAGCGAATATTATAATCATTAATGTAAAATATGATATCATAAACAGTACTGCAGGAAAAGAAGGCTACCACATGCAGTTGTATAAATTGTGTATATTTAGTGGGAATGCAGGTTGTAATGAACTGTGTTAAGTCTGCAAAGTTATACATATGAAAAATTAAATAAGAGTCATAAACATATAACTTATTTAAAGCATATGCTATTGTACTAGCGTCATCAACTGAACTGTTATTATTATTATTATTATTACTATTATTATTATTATTATTATTATTATTATTATTATTATTATTATTATTAATTTCAGGAAGTCAGTTTGAAATAATTGCAGCTCAAAAGGCAGATGTTTATAAGTTAAATAAGGTAATGTGATTTGAAAATATTCAGTCTGTGCTATGCAGTTGGTAAATTTTGTGAAATAAGAGCATCTGTAGTGTAGCCTGCTTTGAATTTCAGACTTTCACTGTCACTTCAATTATATTTACAAAAAAAAAAAAAAATAGAAGAAAGTGATCATGTTGAAAAGTTTGATTAGCTATAGAATTTAAATAAGATTTGAAAGTTTATTGTTGTTGTTTTTTCTTGCAATACCATGAAAAATAAACTGATACTTTACCAGCCAATATTTCACTTGCTTGCTGTCTATGTACAGAAACATTGACTGGGGAAGTGTCAGCTCATTTCTCAAGCTGTCTACAAAAAAATAAATAAATAAATAAACAAATAGAAAAATGATCCATCTTTCATTTGGATTCTAGACACCATATTATGCATATTTTTGTTTACCTATTTTTAGACTTTTTTCCATAAATTGATTTTAGGCATTTATTGAACATTCCTGGTTCCCTGGGCTGACCTGGAGGGTCACTGTCTGTCCTCGCTGTGGTCATCATTTAGGATGGTAAGGGGAACACACACCATATGTAAATATAACACACATTCGCACACACACAGTGTCTGTACTAGCTATGGAGAGCACATTTTATTCTCTGCTCTGTTTATACTTAAAAGTATGTACCCATTGCTGGGCAGCTGAGTAAAAAGACAAGATTACCAATTTTAACAGCTTCCTCCAATCTTTATTTCTGTGCTATAATAATCACTACACACTCAGATATTTTATTGTTTTCTATAGTTGATTTAATTGAGCAAAAGTTGCCATACATTTATGTGATATATTTTAGGTTCTTTGAGCCCCATACCCATGATTTACCAGAGACCTACCCTGAAGCCATCAAAGACGGGTTTGCTGGTCTCATTCTGGAGAATTTACTGCATCAGGACTGTAAGTGTGCAAGCACAAGCAGAACATAATCAGTTACTTTCAGTGTTTGTCTCTTAGGAAAATAAGTTGCTGGACCGAAAGTCCAGCCATCTTGAAAAGTAGCTGGACTGAATGTCTCTTGGGTGGGAAAACTTCTCAGCCCGTTCTAAAAGTTGTCAGCCACGGGCAGCCGGTCCAGCCTTAATTTCTAACACTGGTTACTTTGCATCCTTTAACACCACTGCCGTTTCGCCCCAGCATTGTTAAGCACTACTTCACTGTGGTGACCTTACTCCACTGGACCACTTCAGTATAGATTCACCCTAGAAAAATCCAACATATTAAATATAACAACTTATTATTAAATTTAAAAACTTTGTGTAATAACCAGCTTTTTTAAATCAAAATTACACCTTAATTCCTGGGACCCAGAAGTGCAAAATTTCTTGAATCTATAAGTTAAAACATAGAGGGAGTAATGGCCCAGCAGGATTCAGTAACAGCGCAGTGAGTAATAAAGTGGAGACAAGTTATAAGAGGAGATGCCATATAATTATTAAAATATAACCATACTTTTCACAAAACACAGATATAAATAGCAGCCTCAAGTATGGCAGATTTAGCATCATCTCTACTAAGGTCCTTTTCACATCAAATATGCTGATGCACTTTCTGCAATTGACAGCAAAGCAGCTAGCCTGCATGGCTATACAATGAAAATGAAAAAGAGTCACCAAAACGGATTACCCTTAGTATTATATATTACTCTAATTGTACGAAGAGGCCATATATATTGCTTAAGTATACTGCCTGATGTGAAAAGCCTAAGAGTCACATCTAGCACAATTTCTTTAATGCAATGGTACCATTTAATACATTTTCTCCTCAGCATATAAACTGCACTTGCCTAATACACACTTATTAGTTGTTGTGTAGTTACTGGTTAAAATGACATATTTAGGCAGTGTAGGAGTTCCGATAATCTAGCTAAATTGAAATTGAAAAATAATTTATACTTTTTTTCTTTTCAGTTGCTGATTCACTTCTTATAACTCCGAAGTCTTATCTTAGCTGACATCAGCTCATACAGTGACAAACTGAGATATGTGCAGATTGTGCTCTTCCTTTCTCACCTAACACAATTTAATTTTATAACCAGATATAAAAATTAATTTGTTATTTACCACTGCTACATGTATGTGGAGAAAGACGTTAAGAACATTAAAAAAATGAAATTAAGTCATTGTTGCATGATTGCAGATGAAGGTGTAAAATGACTACATCCAATATAACTTGTCTTGAGTAGTGGCATTACGTCAGGAGTCATTTTAACTGAAAGTTTGTTTAATTAATGTTAGAATACCTTCATGTAACATTGCAGCACTTGCTCATTTTCAAGATTATATCTAAAAAGTTTACAGAAATGCATGAAAAGAAGATTCAATTAATGTTTTTTTCTTGTGACAGTGCATTTATTTTATGCAATAAAATCTTCAGAATTCTACAGTAATTGTCTTAGTATTTATGAGAGTGTCTTAATCTGGGAATTGCATGTACAGCCTTTTGCAACTTTTAAATTTTTTCTAATTCTTAAAGAATAAATTCATCCAGTTAGATATATAGATGTACAATAAATAAAAATTAATCAAACCATAAGTAATGAAAGAAAGGAGAAAAGTCTTACTTTGCATAAACATTTTGAAGGTAATGGGATGGGCCCATTATTAGAAGTAGTGTTACAGTGTAATAAGCTAGGACCCTAGAAAGTTCATAAATTTTAATTTAATTTTAATTTATTTAATTAAAATTAATTAAAATAAAAAAAACGGAAAAGATCTGAAAACGAGTTTGGATCTTGCACGAATGAATGAGCTAGAGGATGAAAATAAAGACGCGTGAACAAAATCCGTGACAAAATTCTCCAGCGTTATAATTCGTGATACATCAAGAGAACTTTTACGACATACTTTGTAAAGGGTATCGGTTTTTGGCAAATATTGATTAGTCCCCCAGTGACACCATAATATTATTTGTTCAGCAAAATGCCAAAATTTGTAGAATATATGAATAAAGCCTGGTATTGTTTAATGCCATGTAACAGAAGTTTTTTCTTGTAAACTAAAATACTTTTTCTTTCTATTTCATGAATATTTTCTTTAACAATTTTAAAGTATTTTAAGGAACCAAGCGCAATTTGTAACTCGTCGAAACCCAGGTAAATGCTGATTTCACCTAGTCAAATGACATAAAAAGTAATAGTGAAAGCAAAAACAGATTGAGAAAGACATCTCAAGGACCAAATGAATTCCACTGGACCGACAGTGCCTTACGAACAGTCAAACAATCGTTATATTCACTACACAAACCTTTGTTATGGAAGAACTTTCTGATCCGTCCAAAAACATGGCTCGCACAGTCAACGTTGTGTCTTCTCGACGGCTAATACAGATAGCCGGTCGTCTTATTCTGGAGTTCGGAGTTAAATTCTGGAAGGGTTGTTGTACCTGCGCCCTTGGGCTGATGCTCCTGTACTGGATGTATGGGAGCCTGGTTGCCTTGCTGCTGTTGTTTTTCGCAATCATTGGTAGGTAGTTGCGGTCTTTGCATTGTTTTATTAAGCGGATATGTTAATTTCTTTCTTTTCTTTTTCTTTTTTTTTTTTTAGATTTTTTTATTCACTTTATTATTTTTTTTTTTTTGGGGGGGGGTCACTAGAATATCTCTGTACAGTATGAGAGCATTCATTTGTTGTAAAGATATATTCAGTATTTATAGTCAGACATGATTTTTGTCTTTTTTTTTTTTTTTGCCCCAGCATCTCCCAGATGCACATTGGGTTCATAATTACTTAGCACATAAATTCATAATTCATCATTAAGGCCACAAAGCCATTGCTTGCAAACCTGGGCTCCATAACTCGAAAGCATCGCCAATTGCGAATAACAATATCACCTTTTATTTCAAGGTTATTGCATGGGGCGAGTAAATTCAGAGTTACGGAAAATAGACGCTTGAGCTCGGTTGCAATTTTGTGATGCTTTTGAGTTACGGAGTTCAGGTCTATACTGTATACAGTATTGCTGTTGTCTTCAGGGTATAAAATTAATGTACTACAGCCTACTGCAGTATCCAACTAAAATGCATTGGAAACAATCACAAATGTTATCCATATTGCAGGTGTACTGTACAACCTTCAGGACAAGTTACTCTACTATCCTGAAGAGCCGGCACACTCCAGGATCTATGTAGAACTTCCTCAGGGCCTCAGTTACGAGAACATCTTCACACACACCTCTGACGGGGTACAGATCAACATGGTTCTTATAAAACAGCCACAGGGAAGGTTTGGAACGGCACCTACCATGGTTTTCTTTCATGGGAATGCTGGAAATATTGGGCATAGGTAAAGCAGTGCTTTAAATGCTTTTAATGAATTACATGAAACATGACATCAATTATCAGCATGGAGAATAAATCTGATCAGAACGTTACTAGCAATATGGAATACTATACTTCACAGAAATACAAAAAGGATCCTGGTATATGATTTTTCCTGATGTCTGAATCAAACATTTTCTTTTGATCCAGAAAAAAAAGAAAAAAGTTTTTCTTCCTATTGTTCATCTGATTTTTTTTTTTAATGATTAATTTCCACTGCAGATTCATAAAAAAGGTGACATCAGGGGGTTCAGACAAACCAACCTTTTTGGCAGGAAAAGGCCAGATCTGGGTAAAAATTGATCTAGGTACATGGATGTTTCATGGAA